ACTGCCTTTTAGAAATAAAAGGGAAACTTTATTAAGAAATCCCAATGCCATGCTAGGTGTGGTGGCACACGCCTGTAATTCCAGCGGCTTGGAAGTCTGAGACAGGAGGATTGAGAGTTCAAAGCCAGCTTCAGCAATGGTGAATCACCAAGCAACTCAGTGAGACCTTGTCTCTAAATAAAATACAAAATAGGTCTGGGCATGTGGCTCAGTGGTTGAGTGCCCCTGAGTTCAATCCCTGGTACCAAAAAAAAAAAAGATCCCAATGCCCAGACTATCCCCCAGATCAATTAAATCAGAATGTCTGTGTTTGTTTTTAAATGTGGAACCAAGATTGCAGAGAGCTAATTAGAATTTTATCCTATCTGCAGTATCTTTAGCTAGTGCATATGACCCCATATAGGCCTGATAATTGTTTTGGTTTGCTTTTTAAAATTTACTTCATTGGTACAGTTTTAACATATTTAAATAAGTAAATATGACTTTGCAAAAGTTTTAAAAGTATTTTCCTACACAGTGAAGGAAGTGAGATTCAAACCTGGGACTTTCTACTTCCACAGCCCAACATCTTGACATCCCATACTGTTTGAATAAATCGGAAAATTAATTTCCACTTGTTTAGTTCACTGTTTTTTTTTCCTAAGTAATCTTTTTCTTACATCTCATATTGACTGAAAGAAAGAATTGGGTTTATAAATCAGCAAAGTATTACTGTGTTAGTAAAGTGGTAATTAAGGAAGAGTAATATCAAAGAAACAGTGATTATTGATACAACTAATAATATACAATCAGCCTTTCCTTGTTTTTTTCTGTCAGACCTCAGATCTTTCATCTGAAAGACACAGTGCCACTGCACCCAAAAGTACAGTTTCTTTCACAGCACTGAGAAAGGCCAGCTTGCATCCTTTTTTTAACACTAGCCTAAACCAGCCACCGGACCTTAACCTGGCTCAAGCTGCAGCTCAGAGTTTTGCTACAGATGATATTGAGGGTAAGTATGACTAAATAAAAAATGTTAATCCATTAAATCCCAAGTTTTCAATTCTGCACATATTTTAGGTGCATACTGGTGCATTAAAATGTATTGGAAATCAAAATCTATACCTTGTATATCCTTTATGATCATTAAGAATGAAAATACAGGGGCTGGCGTTGTGGCTTAGTGGTAGAGTGCTCGCTTAGCATGCGTGAGGCACTGGGTTCAATCCTCAGCACCACATAAAAATAAAATATTGTGTCCACCTATAACTAAAAAATAAATATTTTTTTTTTAAAAAAAGAATGAAAATAAAAATGTCCTATAAATAGGACACTGGAACAATATATGATCTTTTACATAGGACATTGGGCAAAAATAGTATCTGGGACACTGGAATAAAAAAGGTTAACTTAAATGATTTTTTTCATGGTTCCTTACATCCCTTTCCTTGGAAATTATACCTGGTCCCCCTAGATTTGTCCTCATTCCTGTCCTCAGTATTAGAGGTTTTATGTATTTTTGTATTTAGTTAAATAACAGAAGTGGAAAAATAAATTTCTGTTCTTTATAGTCTCATACTGGGGAATAAAACTGACCAAATTATATTGTTGTATGTATACAAATATGTAATAGCAGATCTCACTATAATGTGTAATTATAATGTGCCAACAAAACTAAAAATAACAGAAGTAAAAAATGTTTAGTTTGCATTTTTACAATACTGAACTTTGTAATATAAAAAGAGTTACCCCTTGACCCTCAATTCTACTTCTACCTCTAGTTCTAGCCTAATAGAACTTTTATACACACACATATCTATGTATATACCTATACACATGACATACATACATGTACATTTTATTCTATTTGTTCAAAATCAATATTGTTCTTTCATAGAGGAAAATCATCATTTTGTCTGATACCCAAATTGTGTTTATTAAACATTAGAAAAAGAGGCAATATGTGTTAGGAGCTATAGAGTTGATTGAAAAATCACTGTGACCATCTTTTATTTGTCTAGTCATATGTTTACACATCAGTATTCACTCTTAAAACTGTAGGAAAATCTTAACTTGCAGTAAACTATGAGAGTTAAAATTTATAACATATAAGACTGATTTTTAAAATTTTTAAATGCAGGATCTGAACAATCTTTTCAACAGCTTCTGCCAGAATTTTCTTCACAGGAGGGGAGCCAGCATGCTGACCTACCAACTATTTTTAGCATTGAAGCAAGAGATACTTCCCAAGGCATAGAAAATCAGAACTATACCTCCAAAGAACAGACTGAAATATTACAAAATAAGAAAAAAAGTGTTCATTTCCAGGTTTCCAGAGGAAATTTAAATTCCACTTACAGTTCATCGGATGAGGCTAATGTATTTCATCAGTTACAAGTACAGCATAGTACTCCTTGTAGTTCTTCCTCTAGTGAGTGCTTAATAAAACATGAACAAGAAAGCAGAAGAGAAAGATGGGACTTTGAAGAACTATCAAAAAAAGATGTCCTTACAGTGTTACCCAGCCAAGGACTCACTGAAGATGAAAATGAATCTTGTGGAGTTTTAGCTACAGATCCACATATTGAAATTGATTCTCAGTTATGTGTAAGAACAGCGGAGATGGGAACTTCAGTTCAGACACCACATTCATTAAGTATACAAAATGAAAAATATTTTGAGAATTCAACTAAAACTGAAACTCCACAAGTCATAAACCTGTCCCAAATAGCAAAATCAGAGTCTCTTAAAAGTTCTGGATCATTTTCATTACAGAGTTCTATTCCAATCTGGGTAAGTGAAATCTATGGAAAGATTTTTCAATATAAACGAATAAGGTTACTTATTAATATTTCTGAGATGAAATGAGAAAATTTCCAAATTTTGAAAGCTTATGTCTAAGAGTTTTACTACTTTGTTTTTTTTTTTTTGTTGTTGTTGTTGCAGCTTAACTTTCCACTGATAAAAGACTGAAAATAAGGGCTTCATCTACAACCACAGAGGTGTTTTAGTTGGTTATTTTTTTTTTCCTCCTTTACATTCTTCATTATGTAAAACTAGTTACTTCCTTTGGAACATAATCTGGTCTTGTGGCCTACATTTGGCTGGAACTCAATAGCCACTGCTGTCTTTAGGATATACCCTCTCCAGTTCTATAATTCCCCATCTGTCTAGCCACATTAACATTTATTTAGGTTAGTAATCCTTTCAATACAGCTACCATACTATTTTACCCCATGCCCAAAGTCCATTCTAGTATTTTTAGTATGCTGTGATGGGGGTAGGTCCCAAGGGAGAATCTATCATCTGTTGATCTTACTGTACAGTATTTTTGCATTTATGTCCACATAAGATTCAAAGTGCAAATTGTATATTTTGAACATTTAAAGGGCTATTTTCATATGACTTCCCGTTTGTTTTACCAGGAGACAGAATCTGGTAATGGTATAATGGAAGAACCAGAACTTACTTTAGTAAGCACCAGTGATATTAGCATTATTGAAGCTGAATTTGCAAACTTATCTCTAGAAGAGAAGAATGAGGGAAAAGGCTACCTTCAGGTAAATTTTATAGCACTCATTAAATATGCCTTATACAGGAATCTGAATTGGGGAACAGAATAATTTACACAAGGCATGCAACATGGCTAAAGCCCTTAAAGGCCTCCTAAATGCATTGCTTTGCAGTCCCCAATATACACATTCATGATGGTGTAGATAGTAAGACTTTGAGTTGGAACTTCTATCAAAATTTTGAGAAGCAGGTATCCTAGAAAGTAAGGAATTCCAGGTCTGGAATTCACTTTACTTTGAACTTTGTAGACCTGAAAAGATGTTGCTGTTCGAAAAACAATTTTCTGCATGTTCTTTGTTCCACTACAAGCAGACCATCTGATCCTCACACACTTGGTAGTGTGAACCCTAACTGGACCCTGCTTTCATTGTCTATTGTTTCTTGATCACATTTGTAATATTCTAGTTGTGGTTTTAGGTCATTTCTTACTAGCTAAATGATGCAGAAAAGTGTTTTCTGGCAGTGTAAAAGCCAGTGCTAACAAAAATTCTTTTTAGAAAACTATAGGTATTAAGAGGAAATTAACATGACAGCTTGTGAGAATAAACAGATGGGAAAGGGCTATAAGAACAATGCCATATAAGCCAGGCATGGTAGTACACTGCCTACTACCAGAGGCTGAGGCAGGAGAGATGGCAAGTTGTAAACCAGGCTCAGAATACCTATAATGCTGCCCCAAAACAATTGAGACAATTAAGTGGGAGAACAAAACGTGGGTGGGAACCAAGTCCCAAATAACACAAATTTATGTTCCCCCACGTAATACACTAATAAAGAACATGTTCAAAGTCTTGCACAGATAGTTGGCAGAACAATGGATTTGATGACAAATCATTTTTTGAAGAGGACAGCATGACTGAATTTTCCTGTCTTTAGGTGAATGCATTTATTCCATCAGAAACAGAAAACTCAGATTATCCAGTCATATCAGAGTTTTCTTTGCAGAAGTCAACAGAATCTACAGGTATGTCTTGAGTATCTGAAATGGTGAGTCTAGGGATCACACCTTTTAAGCCGAGAATAAACTACTATATACTTAAATAATTCAGCATGGCCCCAACTTTTTCTTAAAATAGAAACACTGCCAAAATGTACCATGGCAGGAAGCTTACAAGAAGCATTTGTAAAGAGAAAAAAATCATTTTTGGAGAGATCCTACCAGAGGCAGAAAGAAATAAGGAATAAGAGTAAACTCACTGAAAATTCCCAAGTCAAAACAGTTAAGGAGAAACAATGTACAGGTATGCTGACTTTGAATTTGAAATCAATCCACTCTCAACCACTTTCCTGGATGATTGTGTGAAATTAAAATTGTCATATCAGGGCCTTGCCTATGCCGTAGCAAGCCTTTATTTCCCTTTTCCCAGGTTCATCTGTGAGTCGCCTTAAGGGAGTCAATAAAGTTAAAATGAATTTTCCAGAAGAAAGAAAGAATGCACACACCCTCATGCACCAAAGGGCTCTAAGGTAGCTTTTTTTTTTTTGCTTTATTTTTAGTAGCTCATTTTTCAATATTGTATTTAATTCCATATAAATTACTTTCAGACTATATAATCAATTAGCTGAAGTGAAACAACAAAAGGTAGAGAAAGCAAAACAAGAAGCTTATGCCCAGAACAGAGAAAGGGCAAAAGAATTTCATAAGGTAAACAAGCCCCCTCCCTTCTTATATTTAGGGCATACCACAATAGGAACTGCTGCTTATTTTTATTTATTCTCTCCACAGAAAACACTAGAGAAACTTCGAGCCAAAAATACAGGTTGACTCTTCTTTAGAATGGTGTTTTTCTTTTAAAAGTGTGTAATTTTAAGTCAATAAATTTTTATTTAAGGAATTTCCATTGTGATTCCTTTGTTGTCCATTCCAAGAATACCCTAAAAAAGAGCATAGACATTGTTGGTTAAACATTCCCACATCTATCGATCATCATGATCACAAGTTGCTAAATAAATGTTATCTCCTCAGGAATATACAGCACTACTGAGTGACTATGGGGTCCTGTGGAGAACATCAATCTGTGGTCACTGCGTTAAGGGCTCCTGGTTTCACAGCCCCAAAAGCCCTCTTTGAAATGACCATTGTATTATATAGGTCTCAAGTACACACACATACCTTTTTAGAAGATCTGATGCTTATCTGTTTGTTTCAAGAGCCCTATAATATAATAAGGATATAGAGAATTAGAGCAATCAAGAATGAGTTCTGGAGCCATATCACCAAACTGGTGTAAACAGTGTGTGTGGTTTGGCCCCAGAAAGCTAATTATCTACCATGGTGAGAATCTGAATGTTTTAAAAATCTAGGCAACATAGATAAAAAAAAAAAGTATACTTGAAATGTTCCCAATAGGTTGAATGCTAGCAAAGTAGCAGATAGAAAACCTAGAGGGAATTATTTTATGGTCATGTCCACAGCAAATAAGAAACTGTATTCTAAAAGCCTTGGTAATGACCATTATACCCTGGAAAAAACATTATAAGGTAAAAAAAAAAAAAGTTACTTGCCAGATGATTTCACAATTCTCCACCTGTGAAAAAATTTATATTTAAAATGCGGTCATCATCCAATCATTTAGAGAACCCAAAATGCCCTGATCACTAACCATTATAAGGACAACCATTTTGGAAAATACATAGTATATTTAAATGTGGATGTTCAGAAAGGCTATTTTCATTCAGCCCATTCAGAGCAGTTGAACATATTGCCCATCATCATAACATAGCTAATCAGTGTTGAGCACTGATTAAATACTGAAAACTCTGATTTGGGTGCAATATGATTATTAGACTGCCTTTTTGTAACTAGTAAAAATCTTACCTAAGTTACTCAGGATTTAATTTCTTCAAGTAATTTGACTTTAGGATCCTAGGAATTGAATTGTACAATTTCATTAATCATTTCTTATCATTTTTTAACATTTTTCTCAATATTTTCACTTATGAACTTAAGCAAAATGTTACAGGTCTCATTGTCACCACTGCAAGATAGATACTGTGATGGAAGCATAACCTGTGTCAATTTAGCCACATTGACCAATTCTGAACACTGATTAACAGTGCCCATTTTCATCTAGAATGAGGCTTTATAAATATTCCTCTCAAGCTTACCCAAACACTATGCAAAAGGGCTTCTATATCTGTATGAAATTTCTTTTCTGCTTACCAAATAGGAGAAAACAAACAGCCAGAAGCAATATCAACAAAGCCTTATACTTTGGGATATAGATGGATCTGCTTGGTTCTCAAGTGTTGACACCTTACAAAAAGAAAAGCATAATTCACCATTTAAGACTATTAAAATGAACTAACAAATACCTATAAAAATGCTGTATCAATAGAAATACCAGGTTTAACATGCACAAAGCCAAGAAAACCAACGATGCCAGATACTGAATTTCTATTGCACTGTCCTTTGAACACGCCAGCAGGAAGAAACTGCTGAGTGCAGATACCATGCAGTGCAGAGACTAAACTGTTGCCTCTATTCCCAAGTCTGTTGTGCTGCTGCCAAGAAATGTGATGAGGAAACTACCTTTAAGAACTCTACTGATCTGGTATATATGTGTAATAATTGTAACACAAAAAAAAGTACATGTATGTATAAAGACAAAAAACTCTTAAATGATCCAGCCTCTCTAAATACTGAGTAGGGTATAAGGCCCTGAGTCCCATTCCCACACTAGAAATGTCAATGTCACTTGCTCAAATTGTCAAAGCCTTTCGTTTGTCAGAATGCCTTTCATTTCCTATTGAATCAACAAATCCAGGCAAACATGGTATCATGTAGAGAGCTGTCATGTAATACAAAGGAGGAAGTTAGGAAATACTTCATGTAATGTTAGAATGCCTAAGATCTTCAAGTCCTTAATAAATTAGTAAAAATTTCACTTACTTCTCTAACATAAAAATCACCAAGTTCAAATCATATTCACTCCTATAGAGAAATTACCAAATGAAAAATTTAGTGAGGGACACTATAAATATTCTAATATAAAAACCAAAACATAAGGGAAGTTTCATGTGCAGACACATATATTCATTCAGCTCTGTCAGAATAAAGTTTTAGTTCATATCTGTGTCATTCAGCAGTTGAACAGTTAAATTCATCATTTGAACTGTAATGGCATTCCAAAGGATTATACTGAATCCTACAAACTTACCTATTATCACACTCAGTACTGCAGATGTGGAATATGCCAATATCTAAGATAAAAAAGAAAAATTAGGTCTTTCATACTTTTTAATTGTCTTGTAGTTACTTCCCACAGGCCTAACAAACAGTCCTATGAGGAAAGCAAAACCACAGAATTACTCTATGAGGCGTTTCCAACGACGAGTGGCTACAAGAGAAGCCCCATCGGGATAGACCTCAATCAGTGTTTAGATAAATGGAAGACTCCAGAGGAAAACAATGATTAGCAAGAATTTCTGATGCACAACAGAACTATAGTTAAAAATGAAAAAAAAAAAAAAAAGCTACTTCCATTGTAATCACAAAAAAGAACTAATTTCAAGAGTGTAGGGTATAGCTTAAGAGTACAGCCACTTGTCTACCATGTGCAAGTCCTAGAATTCCCATATCTATCCATTACCTCAAATGCAATAATTTTATAGTCCCATGGCATGGATTTGTACCAAGCTATGTAGGAGCCAAAAGTACCATCAAGTAGGTGACTTTTAGGAGTAAGTATAAATTATAGTAGTTTTTTTGAGGGGGGTTGGGGGGAGTACCAGGGTATTTGACTCAGGAGCACTAAACATCCCCCAGCCCTATGTTGTATTTTTTTAATTCAGAGACAGGGTCTCACTGAGTTGCTTAGCACCTTGCTATTGCTGAAGCTGACTCTGAACTTGCAATCCTCCTGTTTCAGCCTCCAGAACCACTGGGATTACAAACATGTGCCAGTGTGCCTGCAGAAGTTTGGTTCTTAACATGTTTTTCATCTTAAATAGACCAGTCTAATGAATTTAATGATTCTTAGATACATAAGATATTATGTACATAAGATATCTCCTCCTTTTTTATGTGGCTATGCTGTGAGCAGACAAAATAAGAAAATAAATTTGATAAATTTTTATCATTCTTATTTATGAAACCTTGTAACTAGTATAGATAACTATTGAATTTCATCCTCCCTTTTAAATATTGAGTATACTTGAACTGGGAAACCATGTTTTAAGACTTCCCAAGAAATCTTCCCAAGTAAAATGAAACTAGTACTTCAGCACTATAAAATATTTGAATCCAAGATTGCTTTCTGGCAGTCAATGTCATAATTCAAAATTAAATAAAGCCACAAGTATCTCATTAAAATGAATTAATCTAATATACTTACACCAGTTAAAATATCTTCAAACCAATGCATCATTTTCTGAAGACAGCCTTCAAAAAAAAAAAAAAAAAAGCCCTTCTCTTGAATCACAATATGAAAATTGGAACATGCAATCAACAAAGCTGAAATCCTCGTTTTAGAACCTTTTCATTTATCAAACCACATCATTTTAAGCTATCTTAGATAGTATACCTGCTTATATGTATCAAAACTCATACTGAACAATGAGTTCTGGGTTGCAAAAGAGGATTTATTTTTTGCACTTGTCTACAAGTCTTTGTCCAAAAGTTAAACAAAAACACACACAAGTGCTACTGTACAATGCAGTGTATTTTAATAGAATAGCTAGCTGCTGCACAATGTTGATTACAGTAGTAAGAAAAATGGAAGTTGAAAGCAGAGCACAGTGGCACACATCTCTAATCCCAGTGACAAGAAAGAAGCGGAGATTTGAGGCCAGGCTCTGAATCCCCACCCAGTCTTAACATTTTTTTAAGAATTACTGATGTAGCTCAGTGGTAGAACACCACTTGTTTCGATCTCCACAGGGGAAAAGAAGGGGGAAAAAAAACGCCACTTTGGTATTTGTCAGTAAGAAATGTTTTAGGAAATCTAAGGAAATTGAATATTTGGTTTTATCTTTCTATTCAGGATTAAAATCTTACTAAAGTTATTCTTTACATTTGTTTTACAAAGTTATTCACAAGTTGCTTGTTATTTTCTCTTTAGGAAGTTCTTCACTGGAATTTCATCACGAGGCTTTCACATTTATGCACATTAAACTTCTTTAGTCATTTCTTCCCATGAAAAGTCACTTTTTCTGTATATTATTTACCTGCTTTGACTTCATCTCCTTTAAGGGCACTCTGTATTCTGTCCAATATTTTTGGCATTAGAAGCTCGCTTTTTAGAAAAAGCAGTTTCTTTATTATTATTCTCATGCTCTAGATATATGTTCGTCTTCTTTGGGAAGTCAGAACTTACTATAAAACAACTATCCTCCTGCATTAAAAAGAATATTAAACAATAACTAAAAGCAATTACAAATGTTTAAAGACTAGGTTACTTGAAATAAACTAAACTACATCTAGATTTTAAAAATCTAAATTAGCATCTGCATATTTTTTCTTTTAATACCCTAACACCACGCATTAAAACGTTCATAAAATTAGGGGTAGGCATGGAATGCAATGGTAGATCACTCATTTAGCATGCAAAAGTTCCTTGATCTAACCCCCCACAACAACAAAGACCAAAAAATTGAAGAGCCCATTTTCTCATTATCAATTATATAAATTAAATTATTTCCTGCCGAAATTATTGGACATAATATTCCTCCTATACTAACTTCAGCATTCCTCACGACAGGATAAAAATAAATCACTTACTACCAACTTGATATCACATTCATGTTCAAGATGTGCTGTCTCCTCATCTGCTCTGTAATATTAAAATGCATAAGTTAATGGAGGTGGAGTTATGTCTCGTGGTAAAAGCACTTGCCTAATGTGTGTTCAGCACTGGGTTTTATTCTTAGCACTATATATAAATTAATAAATAAAAATACTCTTAAAAAGGCACAACTTAATGATAAAATATTCTAATTAGTTATATATTCTGCTGACATAATTCAAACAGTAATACTAGTCACGTCTTGTTTTAATAGTGGATGTTTTGTGTGCTGAGTTCAGCTAAAATATCCTAATTAACCTACTATATGTCTATGTTTTGATGGTATCTATGTATTAATGGTAGCTGAGTGAGGTGGCACATGCCTATAAATCCAGAGAGTTGGGGAGTTGAGACAGGAGAGCCCAAAAGCCCAACAATTTGGTAAAACCCCAAAGCATAATAAAAAATTAACATGTTCTCCACTTCTATCCAAATTTCATTCTTTGTGACGAAGTAAACTCCACTGTGTATATATACCATATTTCTTCATTCATCTGCTGAATGACACCTATGCTGGTTCCATAACTTGACTATGGGGCACTTTGCTGTAATAAGCATGGGTATGACAATTAAGTACAATATGCTAATTCTTTTACATAAATATCAAGAGGTGGTATAGCTGTGTCATATGGTAGTCAATTCCTAGACTTTAGGAATCTCCATAGTGCTTTCCAAGTTGCTATAATGCAGTCCTACCATCAACTCATGGGTGTCTCTTAAGTTACATATAATCTATGCCCAAAGTTATTTTACATGATTCCACTTACACAGACTCTTCAATAGGAGAAATTGATCCATCATCATCCAAATATTTGTATCTACGACTATCAAGATCTTCTTTTTCCAAATCTTCACTAACATTCATTTGCTTCAAGGATTCCTTAAGGTGGTGTTCATACTTCAATTTTTCAATGTAGTTAAAAAATCCTCTTGCAACAGCTTGCTATTAAAAACACATTTTTGTCTTAGTCTTACAAAATTAAGGTGTCTTACTTCATGACAAAGTCAGATACTTATATTCAAAACAATTAATCATACTCTCACACACTTGAATCCTAACCATTCTGTACTTCTGAACCAAATTTACCAAATGTTTATTATAATATTCTTAAACAAAAGATTACAAAAATATTAATCCTCTCAAATAATTATAGGTTCCAGCAAGACACTTTATATTAATCATGCATTCATTCAGCATTCAATTGTCAAATATACTGCTAAGTATTAGATTGTTCAGGAAGGAATTCCATCAGAAACAGCTAAACTTTAATGTCTACTACACTTTGGAGATACCAGTCCAACTTGTATTAATGCAAAAATTGGGGAATCATTTGCTTCAGGGTTATGTTTAAAGATCTGATGAAACCAAGGGATTTTATATTAAGCAGATTTGGCCTGCCATTATTCAGATTCTTAAATTCACAGAAGAAATATGCCAGGAAGAGTATACCCAGAAACACTAGTGAAGTTTGTCCTTTATGATGGAGTAGATTTTATGTGGAAGTAAATATAGAATAGTATCCTGAAAACTGGAAAGGACCTGAAAACTGGTCCAGGTATATCTTAAGACAATTCTATAAATGGCCAGGTCATTTCAGACATTTTATTTTTGTGTATCCATTACATACAAAATACTAACTTACCTCAAAGGCTAAAATTTTTCTCCAAGGTAATGGTTTTCTTTCATTCTCAGATTGTAAAAATGGGAGTCTAGATCCTTTATTTTTAATTTGTTTCTTATCTATTTGTGACCTCTTGGTTTTTCTTCTTCCTTCTGGTTCTTCCTTTGTTCTTAATTTTGGCTTGTACTTTCTCTTCCTCTTTCTTCGTTTCTTTTTCTTAAATCTTTCAAAAATAGCTTTTAAAGTCAATGGTTTTGGTTCCATAGATGAATCACTTGATGAATCTGTAACACTTTCAGGTGAATGAACAAATTTTCTAGTGGGGTTTCTTTGCCTTCTTTTAGGTGGGGAAGTAACACACTGGGTTTTAAATAAGCTGCTACCAGATGAGGAGTCGTCACTAGGAAAATGAAAAATTCTGTTATAATGCTAATTACTCTTAATACTCAATCACACATGTGCTTTTCTTCTAGGATCAACTCAGGAAAACATTCTCAGAATACCTAAATATTTTCAGAAAGGTGCAGTACCAGCTAGTCACAGGTCCTGACAACCATATCTAAAATGGCATCTAAGGAGTGAATAAAGAAAATGTGGCAAATATATACAAAGGAGTATTACTCAGCCATAAAGAATGACTTAATGACATTTGCCTGCGAATGGATGAATCTGAAGACTATCATGCTAAGTGAAGTCAGTCAGTCCCCAAAACCAAAGGACAAATATTCTTTGATATGTGTAAGCTAACCCATAATATGGAGGTGGGGAATAGTGAGGGGTAGAATACAACAGATTAGACAATGGGGAAAGGAGGTGGGGATAGGCAAAGGAAAGACAGTGGAATGAATCTGACATAATTTTCCCAGATACATATATGAAAACAGTGAATCCCATCATAAGTCCATAGGAATGAGATTCTTAACTAGAATAAGATATAAATCCATGCTTGCACAATTATATCAACATGGATTCTGCTGTCGTATAACTAAAAAGAACCAATAAAAGTTGTCTGATTTGCTGCTAGTGTCTCCTCTAAGCATACAATCTATTAGACAAAAACTGGACAATTCAGTCTGGAAGAGATACCAAGAAAATACCATCTTCCTAAGCCAAGAATATATTATAATAGATTTTGAATCAAAGTACTTGCAATAATCCAATAAACCTGGAAGGTGTCATCTGTTTTCCTTTCCAATTCCTGAAATTATCTTAACCAATTATATACAATGATTTATACTTTCTTAGTAATTCAAACACTAAACATTTTGACTGAAACTACCATTCTCCCCAGAAAGTTCATTTACCTTTGGTTTTCAACTTCCACAGCTGCATCAGACACCAGACAGTCAAGGGAATCCATTCCTGATTTATCCATCACTTCTGTTTTGACTTAAAACTGTTCTCTGAAATTATGAAAATTCAGAAAATGTGATGCAGCTTCCCTAAGCAATAAAGACTTACACAGCCAAGATATAGAAAGTTCAAGCAGTCAAGCCATGTCACTCTACATGAACCATGCAACTCTGTGAATTTAGGCAAAATAACTTCCTAAGCTTTTTAAGTTCTAGGAACAGCAATTTCTTTAAAAAACCTAGAAACTGCATTCACAGGTGCTTTCAGTTTTTACATGGTAATTAATGTGCAATTACTAATACTAATGTACAATCCAACGGCCAAATATATAATTTAAAATTCTTAAGCCTGAAATTTTCATTTACTCTGCCTTTTCATGTTCACCTCTGCATTCATATTGTCATATCTTTGATGCTGTCTTTGATATTATCTTATAATTGATGAAAACTAATTTTCAGCAAGCTAAAAACTACACAGAAACTGCCTTGGTCACCATTTTCTAATAGTATACAATAAGCAATAAAATCTTTATAAGACTTAAGACGTAAGATGTGTCTATTTACTGCATCTCCCGTCTTTCATTTTTCATTGTATTATCTAGTTTACTTTAAAACTGACATGTAAGCCGTGATAAATAAGTTCTAGAATGATTAACCAGTAAACTATTTCAGGTATAAAATCTCAAATTTGTGAAATAAGACAGATCCATGTGACAGTTTTCCTAAATGCAAAATCCTGTCATTACATCAACTACTCAAAAATCAACATTTGCTCCAATAATATTGTTAGGGGAAAGACAGATGAGGATGATGAGAACGTAAGATTAAGAGAACAATTCTATAAAATGGGCCCACTTTCCTGTGCTGACCCCCACATGCTTCCTTTTTCCAAAAGTATTCAACCTGCAGCCTTGCCTGGCCTAAGTGGACAGTATTTCACATTCCTCAGAAAACTGTTATCTGCAAGGAAAGTCAGGAAATATCATTGATAAGAGGATTCCAAGTTGTTCTGGAGGGTGAGACTTTGTGACCCTTTTCACGAACCAAATTGGTTTACAATAATTCCTTTTAACCATAAACCTGTAAAAATTGATTTGAGTTCTAATTAGAACTGCTCAGCTTGGGTCAAGGGAACCTAGAATTGTCACAGCAATAGGTAGTTGAAAGTCTGATGTCACCTTGCTGTAAAGTGGAGAGGTGGACCTGGGTAGGACAACTTCTCTGGGAACACTGTCCCTTCCTTTCCTCTCTTGAGAACTCTCTCCTCTAGGGGTCCGTTTATCTATCCCTTCAATAAACTCATGCCTATTATTCTGAAAACATGTCTGAAATCTTGATCGCAACAGTCGGAGTTTGAAGTGTAGGTCTTCTGGCTGCCTCAGTTTCTTGGAATGCCCCAGCTCTGTAACAGCATTAATGCGCCAGCTCAACTTTTTTGTAAATATTACTGAAATACAGCTAGCTCCAAAATCACTTTTAAAAATCTATGTAGAAAGCATCCCTACTTAGTTGTCGCTTCCAATTGTGGGATTATTTTTTGGAGGCTACGTGGCCAAATAAGACACTTAACGAAACTAACTTGTACTTGGTACCTTGCGCGGGTTGAGAAGCTCCAGGAAGCACCCAAACTCAGGCAAGAAAAATGGCGTCCACTAGGGTTAATTCACACAATAGTGACTAACCCTCTAAGATTTGCCTAGACGAGGTAACATCAATATTTTGACTCGGTAAACTACGCCGACACTATAATCGCGCTCACGAAGGTCTCAATCCAACCCCAAGGCCTGATTTCTGAGGCTAGATCCACAGCAACACGGCGTCCTGGGAAAACTACACCTGCAGCCCTTCACGCAGGCAAGGCCCGGACAGCCACCGCCTCTCCCCTACTTATCTACAAGGCCCCCCCCCCTTCATCCACAAGCGCCGCGCTGTGGGCCTTGGGCCACATATGCGAGGCCTGCAACAGGACACCGCGACTGACTCGGGCCATGAAACCCTGGCGGTTCGCGCCCATCAGCTTCCCCGCCCGGGAACTCCAGCACACATAAGCAGCTTACCATCTCCAACCGTATGGAAGAAAAAGAACTCACCACTCTCGCGAGCTCCCTAAATGTTGGGCTGAATTCTCGCGTTACTACTTAGCTCTCGGGACGAAGAGAGTGCTGGGAAGACAGACGCGTCGGTGCACTTCCGACTCCCGCGAGGGGTGGAGCAATTGAAGCGGGCGGAGCCTAAACCCACTCAACCAGAGGAGGCGGGGTCGACCGAGGAGAGATCACCTAGGTCCGTGGGCTTCGCCCACAGTTTTGGTAAGTTTAATTGCCAAGAACATTTTAGCAAATAAGTTGTGAGGTCAAATGAACTGAATACATGTGAACAACGAGGAAGTGGGTGATTTGTTTCCGGTGAGCTTGCGTTTGCTGAAATGAGATTGTCTACTTTTGTCCTCAAACATGTCATCTGTGTTAAAATATTGGGAAAGGCTCATATTTTGATCTGACTCCAAATGTATAACATTTGTATTGAAAGCCAGTATTATTCCCTTAGTACACCCGCTTAACATCCCACTCATGTACACTTGCTACCACAGTACTTTTCTGCGCCTACCAGAAGTTCCATATTTTTAAACAAGTTATTCAGGCTGTAGCTTCCCAGGGTTAAACTTCTATTTCTAATTCGGTAGGGAAATAATATGACAGATCTTTTGAGATAGTAAAGGATATAAAGTTAGGATTATTTATTTGGATTTAACTTGAATTTTTATTCCTACTGTAAGCAGAAGAATATAAAGTGCTTTTATTGCCAGATGTGGTGGTGCACACCTATAATCCCAGCGATGTGGGAGGCAGAGGCAGGACCAACGCAGCCTCAACAACTTAGGCCCTAAGCAACTTAGTAAGACCCTATCTATAAATTGAAAAATAAAAAGGGCTGGGGATGTGGTTCAGTGATAAATCACCTCTGGTACCAAAATCTAAAAATGATAATAATAAAATGCTTTTATTATCCTCATTATAAATGAAAATGCTATTCATTGTACAGATTTTGATGTTTATAAATAAGTACATGCTAATTGCCTGATAGAGTGTGATAAAATTTAGGAAATCAGTGAAGACTACACAGTAATTATTTTCATAAAATATCTGTCAATCTATTTAATAAGGAAAAATTAAAATATCTTACTCTGAAATAATCATAGATTATTCAACTCAAAAACAGGTTTAAGATTTTAAGTATGATTATTAGAACTACTTGTCAACAGTTATGTATATTTAACTTGGGAGATTGGATTTTATTAAATAACTAAAGGACAGTAAAAATTAGTATTTGATAAATACTAAAGTAAATGTCTCCAGGCACAGTGGTGGAGCTTGTAGTCCCAGCTTTACAGAAGACTGAGGGGGGAGGATGACTGGAGCCCAGAAGTTCCAGGCCAGTATGGGCAACAAAGTGAGGCCCCCCATCTTTTTAAAAAAAAAGTAAATTTCAAGTCTTAAATATATGCAATGGCATGTTTATAGAGCACTTGTTTAGAAGTATCATCAAAACTAGAAAACCAGCTAGTTTCTATGAAATCTATGAATCTTTGGAAATTTTTAAAAATAAATTTTTGGAAAAGTAATTCAAATGATTCTGACTTTTCATATGCTAAGTAAGCATGTTAAAACCAGAGACATTCCAGTTAATGAGATGATCTATTAACAATTTTTTTTTAGTACTGAGGATTGAACTGAGGTTACTCTTCATGGAGCTACATCCCCATCCCTTTTTTATTTTTATTTTGAGATAGGGTCTCCCTAAGTTGCCAAGGCTGGCCTCAAACTTAAAATCCTTCTGCCTCAGCTTCCTGAATCGCTGGGATTATAGGCATGTGCTACCATGTCCTGCTCTATTAACAGGACATGGTTTTTGACCAACCGTTTATTGAGAACTAAAATACACAGGGGTCAGTTTGTAGCAAAGGGTACAAAGGAGAGAAGTACAGCTTTCCAGTGAAATAATGTATTGTCCTTAACTTTAGAGCCTTGTGAACAGGCCTTACATTTGTCTAATAAATGGCAATGAAGAATATTCTAAAAGAAAAAGAATAAAACAAACAATTCCAGCAGTGCTCTTAGAAATAGAAATCTGCTTAAGAGTTTTGTCCTTAATCCTTACTGTGATTGGTCTGGAGTAGGATTCTCCACCCACTTTGTCATCATCGTCTTTTTTTTTTTTTTCCTTTTCTGCCTTCATTTTATTTATCTCCCTCTACTTGCACACATCATCACTTGAACATTTAAGGTAAGATACTAATCTCTGTAAATGTATACCTATTTATTGTAAGTTATACTAAGCATGTATTTTAAAATATCTAGGTTATCAGAATCATTGAACATGAAAACTACTTACCAAGAAAGTGTTTATTTTTGAACAAACTAAAATTTAAATTTCAGAATCTAATCGTCTATGTTTCCATTCTACTAATGATTTAAATCTTCTTTTGTAAAAATGATAGCCTAAGAAATTTAATTTTTAGCTTAAATGTCAAAATAGAGTAAGAAACACATTATAGAAATATTTATATGTGTATTTTATATGCTAGCTATATATCATATATATGTTACGTAGTTATATAGACTCCAGTACTGTTATCTACAGCCATTTAGACACTTATTCACAATCCTTAATAAGTGCCTTTTGCTTCAAGATCCATATTCCTTTGACCAACCATTAGAAAATTACATGTTCAACCCAGATAGATGACCAATAAAAAGAGTCATATATATCTTCTTATATTGGTGTTTCCTCTTATTAGTCTATTTTAAATGCCAACTATTTAAAACTATTGGGCTAAAAATATAGACAATCTTAGCATAGAGTTCTTGCCTAGCATGCATGAAGCCCTGAGTTCAATTTCCAGCTCTGCAAAAAAAATAAAATAACAGGATTAAAAGAGGCCACTTACCCATTGTTCACTTGGAATATTAAATGCTAGAACTGTGGTTTCCTTTCTGTAAGGACAGAAAAGCCAAAATGCCCTTTGCCCTCATTATGTAACTGAACTCTTAATGTTCACTTTCAGAACGGCAGGCACTGTTCACATCTGGTGCACTGTGAACTCTTGTGATAACTGGCCAACAGGAGCTTTGATTGTACAACCTTATACCTAAAGAAGAAAGAAAATGGCTCATTCTGAGTTTTCTTTTCATGTGCCAAGTCTAGAGGAACTTGCTGAAGGTAAAAACAATATTAACTTTGGATTTTTAAGAACTATTTTAAGAGAAAAAAGATTTTAAGATTTATATGTATCTTACTAATGTTTATCTTGTTGAAATGGTACTTCTGATACAGAATTTGCCATTTCAATATCTATTCTGTACTGTTTTTATTGAGAAACGCTTAAATTATGTCCCCTAACAAAATTAAACTCACCATTTGTAGATTCTTGATGACACCAACTTCACATGATGAAATTGACTAAAGTAACCCAAAATTTAAGTACATATTATGTCCAGAGTTGTACAACTTTGCTTTATTTCCTTTTTACCAGTTACAATTTTTGAGTGCGGGGGCGGTGCTGGATATTGAACCAAGGAGTATTTTACCTCTAATCTACATCCCCATCACGTTTTATTTTTTATTTTGAGATAGGGTCTTGTTAAGTTGCTTGGGGCTTTGCTGAATTTCTGAGGCTATCTTGAAATTTGTGATCCTCCTGCCTCAGCTTCCCAAGTTAACAGGATTACACCACACCTGGCCAAAATACCTTAGTTAGAGGCTAGGTTCTGCTGCTCCTTGTGTTGCACAAATATTTGGATTCAAATTGTTAGGAACTAGGTTTTATTCAAAGTGAGCTTTAAATGGAGATAAAAGAAACTTGGTTTCAAATTTCTATCTTTACAAAACTTTTTTTTTTTTAGTTTTGGGGATTGAACCCAGGGGCACTTAATCACTGAGCCATATCTCCAGCCCTTTTTAATTTTTATTTTGAGACAGGGTTTCACTAAGATGTTTAGGACCTAACTAAGTTGCCAATGTTGGGATCCGGAAATGCTTTTAAAAGAAAAAAGGTGGGTCAGGCACTGAGGCACATGCCTACAATTCCAGCAGTTTGGGAGCTGAGGCAGGAGTATTACAAATTTTAGGCCAGCCCTGGCAATTTAGCTAAATCCTGTCTCAAAGTAGAAAATAAAAAGGCTTAGGGATATAAACAGTTAAAGCACCCCTGGGTTTGATCCCCATCCAGTATTAAAAACAAGAGAGAGAAAAGAGGTAACAAAAGGCAAAAAAAAAAAAAAAATAGACGTGTAGATTTAGTTATCCTGTGAGACAGAGAACATGTTAGGGGTGTCAGGCCAGGACAGGGGGGCAATCTCCACTCATAGCTTCCTTAGCATCCCCCAGGCCAGGGGGCACAGCTCTCCAGCTTTTACTCTCAGTTTGAGGAAATACAGAGGCAGAAAAATATATTAGAAACTTGCTTTAATTTCAGAGGAGTCCTTAATTGCAGTATTTCATTTTGATCCTTAAAAATACATTGCTCCCAATGCGATGGTGCACACCTGTAATCCCAGCAGCTCAAAAGAGAATTGCGAGTACAAAGCCAGCCTCACCAAAGGCAAAGTGCTAAGCAACTCAGTGAGACCCTGTCTAAATAAAATACAAAATAGGGCTAGGGCACTATTCAGTGGTCGAGTGTCCTTGAGTTCAATCCCTGGTACTGAAAAAAAAAGTACATTGCTCTTTGGATTTATAACTGTGACACCTATTCTGTTTTACATTTATACTATGACATATCTACAAGAAAGTGCACTTATCTTGAGGTATAGCTTATTTAATGTTTACATGTAACTGCTGTCCAAATCAAAATCTAAAATGTTTTTCATATCCCAAAAGACTCCTTCATGGAGCTCTCCAATGTCTTTATCCTGAGAGGTAACCACTGTTTTTACTTTTATCACCGTGGATCAGTTGCCTATTTGAAATACATAAAGTTAAATCATACAGTCTTTACTCTTGTTGTGTCTGGCTTCTTTTGCTCAACATTTTGTCTGTAGTCTTCCTTGTGTTGCATGTGATTGCCTACTTTTTAAAGAGTTTAAATATTTACACTTTAATAAGTTTTTGGAATCTCCCTTAAAGAAAGGTGGTCCTCACCTGAGTGTAGTCTTTTTATCTTCAGAAGTTTATAATCACCGTGGATAAGATTATGTTTGTGTCTTATATTATAACTTTGGATTATGTCAAAGTCTAAGTTCATAAGTAAGACTATTTCTTGGTTGATGGTATAGCCCAGTGGTAGAGCCTGTGCTTAGCATGCCTGAGGCCCAGGGTTCAATCCCTAGGACCGGAAAAAATAAAAATAGAAAACCATTTCTGCACTCTTTTTTTATTACACAAGTTTAGGTTAGGAATGTGATGCAGAAAATTTGAAGGAAAATTTGATATATGATGGCCAAATTTTTCCCTATTGTTAAATAACCCTTTTTCTTCTCTTTATTAGTTATGCAGAAGGGACTAAAAGATAACTTTGCTGATGTCCAAGTGTCTGTAGTTGATTGCCCTGATTTGACTAAGGAACCATTTACCTTTCCTGTAAAAGGTAAGCAGTTTTTGCAATATGCTTCTGGTTTTTACTTGTAATCATTTTTTTGAAACCAGTGTTATTTTTATCTATGAATAAAGGATATTTTCATAGCTTTTAGGCTAAATTGTGCATAATTTTTGTGCTCTTGTTTTTTGGTGTTGGTGAAATTTCATTTTGTAACCTTGTGGAAAAAGATTGTATTTTGTAATTTTTGTAACTTCCTTGGTTATATAATATACAATAGGCTAGAATATTGGTAACACATGAGAGTTTTGTTCAAATTACTGTTAGGGAAACTTACTTTAATTTTTGTTTTTATTTATTTATTCAGGACCAGAAATAATCTTAAAAGGCTTATTTAATGTTTGGTATAAGTACTAGGTCCAGTAGATGTGAAAACTGAGGTTGAGAGAGAGTAAACTCTGTGTGAATCATAATCAGGATTTGAATGCAGGTCTGTATGCTTTAGAAATCTAAACTTCTCCTAATATAACCTACTATATGAGGAATTTGGAGATAATACAGTGTTGTTTTACTATGAAATTGATATATTTGTTAAAAAATAGTTTGCCATAGAATTCCTGAACTCTAGTTCTCTCTACCACATAAGAATTTAATTAACCTGAGTAAACCATTTAATTTATCTCAGCCTCAGATACATGAACATAAGGGGACTTTAGTTGAACGTTCTTGTTGGGTCTTTTCACTTTAAGCAGTCTTTAACTAGAACTGTAAACTCCAGCAGGTTTGTTTCCAAATGGCAATTTCTCTTAGCACTGTGAAATCATTCACAATATTTTTGGATAGCCATATTTCTTCTATAGGAAGGAGTGATATATTCTCCTTACTAGTTAATTAATTAAAATAAAATAAAAATCAGAAAACATAGAAGAATACAGGGAAGAAAAAAACGGTTAATCTTAATTGTGTCTTCCAAAGGCTATACCTGGAAAAAACTTCTGATCAATCATATGAGAGTCAGGAAATGATAGTACTGGAAGCCAGGGGTTTGTGTGTGTGTGTGTGTGTGTGTGTGTGAGAGAGAGAGAGAGAGAGAGAGAGATCTTTCTCAAACATGGTTAGATATTTTCTATGTGAATTGGTCTCACTCAGGTCACTGATAGCCTTGGTTTGTTTATGAGTATTACTTCATCTCTACATATTTCATAGTTTCATAGTTTGGCCATCACTGCCTGACATTTTACCTTTAGTGATCTCTCCTCTCTCTCTGGTTTCTCTTGTTGTGTCTGGCATCTTTTGCTCAACATTTTTTTCTCTTCTTCCTTGGTTCCTACCTCCTTCCTTATTTTTTCCTAGCTCCTTTCTCTTTATAGCAGGCTCTTAAGTATTGATATTTGCCAGAATTGTTTCTTATCATCTTATTTTGTGTACTCTCTCTTGAGGTTTTTTTTTTTTTTTGTGTGTGTGTGTGTGTATACTCACTTGTGGTTTTAATTACCGACTAGATACAACGAAATCTGTTCCACCCAAATATCTACAGATCAGTATTTCTACTGCCAGTAGAACATATCCTCCTATATATATTAAGGACAAGTCAACACATCTAAAATTTAACTCATTACTTCACTCTAGATGCTTATTTCCTTTCTTCTTTCTATATTTTCCTTTTCTCCATCTCTACAGTCTCCATTTTGAGCTATTATTTGTCTTTTCCCTGGACTATAAATAGAGTCACCTAATTGTTCCTTTAGGCTTCACCTTCACTATCACTTATGAGTAGAGTCTTATCTATTCATAAGCTCTGCTTATTCGTGAAAAACATTTCCTATATCCCCAACTACAAAAGGGACCTATAAAATTCTACATCTACCCCTCTGCATAGCTGAAGAAATAGAGCAATCATATCTACTTTACTATGTAATATGTGAGCAGAAAACTGTCAAGACCACTTTTTCTCAAACAAAAGGTAGTTTATTTTCTACCCTACACTTAAAAGAAAAGTGCCTTCTCCTAAATTGTGTCTACATATTTCATAGTTTGGCCATCACTGCCTGAGTGACTAGGTTAAACCTCAGATGAATCCACAGCCTTGTACTTTGATGATAATTAAAAATGTAGGAAGACTGGGGTGTAGTTCATTGGTAGAGTGTGTTCTAAGTAGGCATAAGGCCTTGGGTTCAATCCTCAGCACCAGAAAAGAAAAAAAAAAATCTAAGTAGAAAATATCTAGCACCTAAAGTTATCTTTAATTACTTATCATGAGTATAAACAATCTTGGGAATAAGTAATTTATAAGAGGATCTTGCAATATGGACCTAAAGAACATATATTCTACCAGAGAAAAATGTTTTAAATTTTAAAAAGATTTTAACCATAAATAAAAATAAAAAGACAAGAGATCAAACAGCCACTAAAAAATAGTTTTTAAAGGTTTAAGACTAATTTGAGAAACCTCACCCAATCCAAACTTTGACTCCAATTCTAGCCCTCACCCTATCATCAACTTTCAGTTGCCTTTATGCTGTCACCTCTATCAAGCCATACTTAGTCATGATGGTATTGGAGACACAGGTACTTAAAATAGAACAGGAGTACTAGCTACTTATATCTTCTAAACCTGCTATTTGCAAAACTATGAGACTGAAGAAATTATTTATTCTTAATAATTTGATGACTTCCATCATTTTATATGTAAATTATATTTGCCTATTTTTAAGATGGCTTGTGTTTTTTAGGCATCTGTGGGAAAACTAGAATTGCAGAAGTAGGAGGTGTGCCTTACTTAATTCCTCTTGTAAACAAAAAGAAAGTAAGTGTATTTTACTCTTCATATTCATATGAAGGTTGTAGAACTTGGTTGATTCATATTTATTATCAGAAGACCTGTTGATCAATGTGGCAGGGATAGAAATACTAATGGACTCAGTAATAAAAAATAAACCAGGAAATTTTTATAAGTTAAGATTTAAATAATTTTCTTCTTCTTTTTAGGTTTATGATCTGAATATAATTGCAAAAGAAATCAACTTGCCTGGAGCCTTTATTCTTGGAGCAGGGGCAGGCCCATTTCAGACTCTTGGGTTCAATTCTGAGGTAAGCTTATATATAATTATTTTATTTTATTGATTTGACTTTTGGTTTGTCCTTTTCCATTTAATTCCCTACCAAAAAAGCCCACTTTCTGAGTGTTGTGGGTGGTAGATATCATATCTCTCCAGATTGGCACTGCTTGATATGGATTTGGACAATATCACATGTTCTAATTGATCTAGCTGTAAAGAAACACTAATCTTTAGTTTCAGTTTCTCTTAGGGACTAGGTTAAACCTCAGATGAATCCACAGTCCTAAGGTATCCTGCTGAAGGCCTTGAAATGTAAAAGATTTTTATCATTATGTATTTTTAAACATTTTTTTGGTTGTAGACAGACACAATATCTTTGTTTGATTTAATTTATTTATGAGTGCTGAGGATTGAACCCAGTGCCTCATGCATGCAAGGCAAGCACTCAACTACTAAGCTACAACCCCAGCCCTAGATTTTTATCATTATATATTATAGGATTCCATGCTTCTCTATAAATCTTTGCTTTTGATATAAAGGCAGTTTTGGATTAGAAGAGTGGAATATTTCATGATGTAGTCACCTCTTTACAAATAGTAGGAAACTATTAAAATAGTATGATGGTTATTGATCAAAGTTAATAGCTATTACTAGTGTATGTCATTTATGCTGAATAATGTTAATCACTATTAATACTATTAATATTATAATATATTATTACTTAGTATAGGTGATATATACCAGTAATATATAATATATAATACTTGTTTGTGTAATCTTAAAATATCACTATTACTTCATATATCCTGACTACAAAACTAAATGACCTCTTTCGTCTGTCCATAATAGATGTGACTCTTAGTAGTCATACAAGTTCCAGTATTTAAGATAGAAAAAAGGGTTAAAATTTTAAGTTGAACATTTTCAAGCGAATATTCCAATTTATATCAACAATATAACAAATATTGTAGACATTTTATAAAGTATCTTTTCCAGTGTTTTGTATTTAAAATTAGATGCTTCATATCCCCACATTTTGGGGAAGTATGTTTCTTTCTTTTGTGTGTGTGTGTGTGTGTGTGTGTGTGTGTGTGTGTGTGTGTTTCTGGAGACTAATCATGTATTCTCATTAAAATTTGAAATGAATGTCTTAAAGTCTGAGATAAAATATGTTGTTACATGACTCAAGATACCCTCTATGCACAGAGATACTAAGATTGACTAATTTTTTTTTTCAGTTTATGCCAGTTATTCAAACAGAAAGTGAACACAACCCTCCTGTGAATGGAAGTTACTTTGCTCGTATTAACCCTGCAGATGGAGGATGCCTATTACAGAAATACAGCCAGAAATACCATGATTTTGGATGTGCATTACTGGCTAATCTTTTTGCCAGCGAGGGCCAACCTGGCAAGGTGATTTTGTCTATAAAAACACAGAAGTCTTTAAATGTTCTCAGATAGCTAAAACTTAGAATTTTTATTGCCCTAAATATGGTTTTTCTAAGAAAATCAGAGGTACTACAGTCAAAGGTCTTTATTTAACCCAGTTATGAAAGATTCAGAATAGTATAGGCAGAGTAAAAGTCTTATCTAAAATCAATGTTAATAAATATTTAATAGGCAATACCTTTTTCTAACTAATTTGGGAAGTGAATCATTTATATGAACTTTGTGGCTAAATAAATAATGTCTACTTACAGGTATTAAATAGGAAATTTGCTTATTCCTGACTGGTAACATGTTGTGTTAGATAGAAATGGGGGTAGCAAAACATTAGAGCGAAAGAAGGATAAGGATAATTAATGTCTCACTTCATATTTTCTTTTCTAATATTTTTTAAATTGTCGATGGCCCTTTATTTTATTTATTAATTTATTTATATGTGGTGCTGAGAATCTAACCCAGTGCCTCACACATGCTAGACAAGCGCTCTACCACTGAGCCACAATCCCAGCCCCTCACTTCATATTTTCTTTTGATTAGTGCACAAAAAATTGATTTCAGTGTTGGTATTTGTGAGGACTCTCAGATTTTGTAAGATATAGCCACCCCAATTACTTTGAGAAATGAGGTAGTGAAGTAAAAATACCTAATAAAATAGAGAAAACAAAGTCCAGTATTTTACAGGAAGTGAGAAAATTTAATCATTTTTCCTTTACCCCATTTACCAGAGGTTTAACCCTTCAAGCTAGGGAATTCTCAGCCTTTTATCCCCTTGACATGTATGTTAAGAGTCTCTACAGTTCAGTGTAGCACTTAATTCAAGAAAATATGAATTTATTTATATTATTATTATTAACTTATTTATTTATTAAAGTTATATATAATAATGTATGTGTGTATATACAGGACTGTGTGTGTGTGTGTGTATAATATACATATGGTTGATGAAGACTCAGGGGATTGAGACACCTCAGCTTACATTTGGATATACTAAGCAAACAGAATATTGCTTGATGGTATTAAGTTATACCATGTTATATTTAGTAATTAAATAAAATTTTACAGCTTATCCAATATAATGTATATTTATATCTTCTATAGGTCATTGAGGTAAAAGCCAAACGAAGAACTGGACAACTTAACTTTGTGACTTGTATGAGACAAACTCTGGAAAAACAATATGGAGACAAGCCTGTAGGGATGGGAGGTACTTTTATAGTTCAGAAGGGAAAAGTAAAGGCTCACATTATGGTAAGGGCCTATGTATGTATACTCTTATGTATGGATATATACATGTGCACATGCTTAAATTAATATCTCAGAATTTTTAAATACATTGGGAATTCTACCTTTAAATATACCCTAAACAAATCCTTTTGTTGTGAGTATATTACTTAAAAGTTTAAATGACAATACTGTAAGTCATAATACTAAATAATGCTGAGGTAAAGTTCTTTTTTCACATTACTGTATTGGAACTTTTTTTTCAATGTGCTTGTTTGTAAGATCGAGATTTTTTTTTTCTTCTTTTTGAGGTACTGGGGATTTAAACTCAGGGATGCTCTACCACTGAGTGACATCCCAGATCTTTAAAAAAAAAAAATTTTTTTTGAAACAGAGTCTTGCAAAATTGCCTAGGCTGGTCTTAAACTTGGAATACTGCTATTTCAACCTCCTTAGTCATTGGGATTACAGGCATGCACAACTACACTTAGCTATTTATTTTGCTGTTGTTGACTATGCTTTTGGTGTCATAGCTAAGAAATCATGACAAAACCCAATGTCATGAAATTTTCCACTGTTTTCTCCTAAAAGTTTTAGCTCTTACATTCAGATCTTTGATCCATTTGAATTAATTTTTATATCGGTATAAGGTAAGTGTCAAACTTCATTCTTTTTTTTGTACCAGGGATTGAACCCAGGGGTACTTTTCCACTGAGCCATTTCCCCACCATTTAAAAAAAAAAAAAAACATATATTTTATTTAGAAACAGGGTCTCACTGAGTTGCTTCGGGCTTTGCTAGGTTCCTAAGGCTGGCTTTGAACTCACAATCCTGCTGTCTCAGCCTCCCAAGCCACTGGGATTACAGGCATGCTCCACCAACCTCATTCTTTTACATGTGGATATGTAGTTTTCCCAGCAACATTTGTTGAAAAGACTGTTGTTTTCTCATTGAATATTATTGGCATCCTTGTTAAATCATTTGACCCTATATTCAAGGATTTATTTCTGGCCTCTCTAGTCCGTTGATCTGGCTGTCTGTCTTTATGCAGTAATGCAGTTTTGATTACTGAGGCTTTGTAGTTTGCTTGTTTGTAGTACTGGAAATTGAACCTAAAGTCCCTCTGTTGCTGATCCATGCTTCCAACCCTTCTTTATTTTATTTTGAGACAGTCTTGCTAAAAAGCAGGGGCTGGTCTTGAACTTTCAATCTTCCTGGCCCAGCCTCCAGAGTTGCTGGGACTATAGGTGGGTGCCACCATATGCAACTTGGAGTAACTTTTGAAACCAAGAATGTGAGATCTCTAATTTTTTTTCAAGTTTGTTTTTAAAAAATGGGGTTTTTTTGGGGGGGGGGAACAGTCTTGCTTATGTTGTGTAGGGTGGCCTTGAATTTGCCATATTCCTGCCTCTGGCTCCAAAGTAGGTGCAATATTACAGGCATGCATGTGTATCACTGAACCAGGCTAGTATTGATTTCTTCTAAGTATCCAATTCCTAAACACAGGATGCCTTTCTATTAATTGGAATCTTCTTTAATTCAGCAAAAATTTGTAGTTTTCAGTATACAAGTCTTTTACCTTCTTGGTTAAGTTTATTTCAAAGTATTTTATTCTTTTTTGATGCTTCTACCCAATTTTAGTGTCTTGCTTTCCTCACCCCTTGTTACTTAATAATCATGGCATTTAAGATTAGGATGGTGGGGCTGGGGTTATAGCTCAGTGATAGAGTACTTGTTGGGATCAATCTCAATCCCCACCCAGCACCACACACACACACACACAAAAAAAAAAAAGAAAGAAAGAAAGAAAGGAAATATATACTCAGGAAAACTGAAAAATAAAACTAGGAGGTTGAAGGTATGGCTCAGTGATAGATAGAGCACTTACCTAACTTGTCTAGAATGTGCAAGTCTCTGGGTTTGATCCCTGATTTTAACAACAACAAAAAAAAGATACTAAATGCTAAGTGAAATAAGCCAGTCCTCAAATACCAAAGGCCAGATGTTCTCTCTGACATATGAATCCTAACACACAATGAGGGTGGGGGGATAAAAGTCCATTGGATTAAACAATGAGGAATGAAGAGAAAGGAGGGGGCATGGGATTAGAAAAGACAGTAGAATAAATCAGACATAATTTTCCTATGTTCATATATGAATACATGACCAGTGAAATTCCATATCACGTTCAGCCATGAGAACAGGATCTTAATTAGGATGTTATACTCTATGTATAATGTGTCAAAATACACTCTATTATCATGTATACCTAAAAAGAACAAATAATAAAAAAATAGTCAATGGTCAACTCTCATCCTTTTTTTTACCTTTATTCATTCCTAAATTTTAGTTTGTACAACTGGTTACCCTTTGGAAAACTAGAGTATTTTATTTAACTGATGCCAAAAGCAATGGAATTATAAGAAGGCTTAAACATTTTAACTTAATGAAATCATGTTTTTAAATTTTTAAATTCTAAATAATATTCAATATGTTTACGTGTTTAATGGTGTTTTATTGTAGCCTGCAGAATTTTCTTCCTGCCCATTGAACTCTGATGAAGAAGTGAATAAATGGTTGCATTTTTATGAGATGAATGCTCCTTTGGTTTGTCTACCAGTTTTTGTTTCCAGAGACCCAGTAAGTCCTTGTTTATCTTTAACATTACAATTATAATGCTTGAATTTTAGAATATTCCTTTAGACTTATGTACCTTTTGGGTTCTTGTTATCTAAGAACCAGGTTGTCTATAAAATTATCTTGAAAATTAAGGGCGAAGGTGGCTTACCACCCTATGTTAGCCAGAGCAGGATTTTTCCAGGGATGGAACCCAGGGGCACTTAAACACTGAGCCACATCCCAGCCCTTTTTATTTTGAGGCAGGGTCTCACAAAGTTGCCTAGGGCATCACTAAGTTGTTGAGGCTGGCCTCCAACTTGCAATCCTCCTGTCTCAGCCTCCCAAGTCACTGATATTGTAGGTGTACGCCACCATGCCTCGTAAAGGTGTTTTAATAGCACCTAAAGTCTTGCTATTAAATAGAATAGCAAGAATCACAACTAAGATTCAGGTCTCCTATCATGTTCTTTGGTGTTCTAATACTACACACTGGAAAAAATTAATATAGACTGATTCAAAGCCAAGTATCTATAAAAATACTGATTGGTCATATATTTTGATCCAATATTATTACATATCTAGGATTTAATCTTTAAATATATGCTGTGTAAAATGGTTAATTAAAAGGTTATTAATAACAACATTGTTATAATAGCACAAGATTTGGAAATAATGTAAATGTCAGTTGAAAAGTAACAAAATAAGGAAGCTCTTATGGTCTGATAGACATTATGTCAAAGCTATATTGTTAAGTGAAAAAAGCAATAGCAGAAAGGTGCACAGAGAGCTACAATTTGAGTGAAAAAAGTAAAAGTAAATATTTCTGGAAGGATACACATGGATCTGTTTCCATTTTTGCCTGTAAGGAAAGGAAATAACCAGTGAGGATAAGAGAGAAGAAGACACATTTAATTGAATATATCCTTTTGCATGCTTTGATTTGAAATCATGTGAATGTAATGCCTATCTAAAATATAAAAACAGGTCTGGGTATTGTGGCACATGCCTATAATTCCAGCAACTCAGGAGGCTAAGGTGGGGGATCATGAGTTTAAGGTCAGCCTGAGCAACACAGCAAGACCCCATCTCAAAAACAGAAAAAACTAGTCCAAGCACCTTGAGAGACAAAGGGAGGAGGAACACAAATTCAAGATGAGACTCAACAATTTAATGAGACCTTGTCTCAAAATAAAAAAAATAAAAAGGTCTGGGGGTGTAGCTGAGTGGTGGAGTGTCACTACCACAAAATTAGAAAGAAAAAACAAAACAACAAAAAAACATGAGCTAGGTATATAGCTTGGTGATAGAGCACTTGCCCAGCATGCAGGAGGTCCTGGGTTTCCTTGGCACTACAAAAAATAAATACATAAATAAGTAAATAAAAACTTTGTAATATAAATTAAAAAATTTATCCTCACTCATTAAACAAATTCTCATCAAAATAATTTGAGTATATACTAACTTTTCTGTTGCCCTAGGGATTTGATTTGCGACTGGAACACACTCATTTTTTTAGTCATCATGGAGAAGGTGGACACTATCATTATGACACGACTCCAGATATAGTGGAATATCTTGGATACTTCTTACCTGCAGAGTTTCTCTACCGCATTGATCAACCAAGAGAGACCCATTCAGTTGGACGAGATTAAATCATCTTATGCTTAACGAATAAATAAGTTAATTAATTAATTCATTACTAATATAAAATCCAATAGAAATTATCTCATCACTTAAAACCCTTTTTTTGTCTTTGAAATGACACTGTATTCTATATTATTTCACAGGTATATATCTGAGAGAGATTATTGGGAACAGAGATACATTTGAGATGGTCTTTTTTTTTTTTTTAATGCTCACATAAATTTATTGAGCCAACCGCATTTTTTAAAAATTCTATAATATCAAGCAAAGTCTATCATGTTTATATCTCAAATATAAATATGATTAGGAGTCATGATTATTCCTACTAATAGCATTAACTTACATTTGTATAATGTTCATTTTTTCAAATTAAGTCTTAAAACTGCTAAATAGATTATTTCTAGGCATTAGCAAAATCAGTTTAGAAATGTTGATGGTTAAAGCCAGGCATGGTAGCACATGTCTATAATCCCAATAACTTGGGAAGCTGAGGTAGGAGGATCGCAAGTTCAAAGCCAGCCTCAGCAACTTACAGAGGCCTTTGAGCAACTTAACAAAACCCTGTCTCAAAATAAAAAATACAAAGGGCTGGGGATGTAGCTCAGTGGTTAAGCACTACTGGGTTTAACCCTGGTACCAAAAAAGAAAGAAAGAAATGCTTATGGTTGAATCTTTGTATTGAATTTTAAAAATCCATTCCAGAAATCAGAGTATAATTTTTTTTTCATGGAACAAGGTAAACAAAGTAAGCCCTTCATCTTTTTCATGAAGTTAAACCATACTCAGAAGTTTGCAATTTGCCTTTCACAAACATTAGTTAGCAACAAAATGGTTAGCCATGATTCTTCCCTTGTTCTGATTGCCATGTGGAAGCAGTTTGTTGGTTATTTGCAGTAAGAGAAAGGAAAAGAAACAGCATCAAAATACAAAATTTATGTGAGCATACTTTAATTTTCAATAAGGCTACTGCTGAAAGTGACTAATGCCCTTCATGAAATATAAAATTATATTCAATTACTGATTATATGGTTGCCTTTGATATTCTTCTATAATAATCATTACCTAGAAAATCAACTCTCCATTCTTGCTAATGCCAAAAATGTGCAAATTTAGGTGCTTTAATTTAGTACTAAGCACACTTCAAATAATATTTTGGACTGTTTATTTTCAGTTTTAGCTGTAACATGTGAGTATAAATCTGTGCTATTTTTAAATAAGCACTATTTTGAAGCAATGAAATTAATAAAGAAATAAAAAGAAATTAATAAAAATTTTGTATTGATAATGTCCTTTTAATCTTTCCTCCATTGAAAAATACTATTTTTTTAGTTTTCAACCTGTATTTTATTGCATGCTTTTGCATTCCCAATCAAACCAATGAACTCTTTTTTTTTTTTTTTTAACTGTTGCATATTAATTATACAGAATAGTGGGTTGTATGTATTGTGGTATATTTTTACATGCATATAACCATAATTTGATCAATTTAATTTTCCAGTATCTACACTTTCCTCTCCCCTCTTTCTCTCTGGTTCCCTTACCCTAATGGATCTAATGGCCTCCCTTCTATTTTTACAAGATCCCCTTTTCTCCTCCTTTATTAGCTTCCACATATGAGAGAAACATGACATATGACACTGGTATGAAATCTGTCTTTCATTTAACATGATGGTGTCTAGGTTCATCCATTTTCTAGCAAATGACACAATTTTATCTGTTTTTATGGCTAAATAAATTAAACTCCATTATGTATAAATATCATATTTTCTTACCATTTTTCTGGTGACAGATACCTAGGCTGACTCCATTACTTAACTATTATGAACTGTGCTGCTGTAAACATGGGAATGCATGTATGTCTAAAGTGTGCTATCCTCAATCCTTTTGGATAAATATGAAGCAGTGGTTATAGCTGAATCATATAATAGTTCCATATTTAGTTTTTTTGAGAAAACTCCAAACTGATTTCCATAGTGGCTGTAGTAATTATATTCCCACCAACAGTATAAGTGAGACAGGAAGATAGCTTTCCCCCACACCACAGATAGCTGGGAAAAGTGTATAAGAGAAGAAAAGGAGGAAGAAAGGACTGGGAAGCTTGCTACCCCAGCTGGTCCTAGCCACAAGCACAGTTCCTTAACAGCGCCTAGCAATGATCAACAGCAAAATGTTCTCTAAAGCACTTCCTCTTGAACCAACAAATCCTCACCACCATCCTTTTGCTAATAAAGACTCAGAAATCACTTTTCTCCAGATTTGCTGAAGACGACAATTAGAGCTTATTGGCCTCTTTCTGTCATCCCACCAATCGCCTCTAGGTATAGATCAAGCCAATTAAAAACCCCTAGACAATAGACACCTGTTGGCAACCCTCTCTTGGGACCCCACCCTCTTCAGAAGCTCTGCTTTCTATCACTCTAATAAATCTTATTACTTTACTCTCACCCTGTGTCTTTGGGTTTCATTCTTCAAATTCATGAGACAAAAAACCCACCTGACCACCATGGTCCATGATACATAGGATTCCATTTTCCCCATATCCTTGCCAGCATTTATTTGTACTTTTGATTAGTATTTTTTAATAAATTTGTATTGAACACTTACTCTGTACTCTGGAATGTAAACTACATGATCCTAAGATGTTTGTTTACTACTATAGCACTAGTGCCCTTAATAGTGCCTGGTTGTTATGGTTTGGTTGTGAGATGTCCTCCAAAAGCTCCTGTATTAATGCACGAATGTTTGAAAGTGAGATGATTGGATTGTGACAGCAATAACCTAATCAGTTCATCCTAGTTTGAATGAACTAAATGAGTGGTAAATGTAGTCAGCTGGCGTGTGGCTGGAGGAGGTGGGTCATTGGCTGTGTGACCTGCAAGGGTGGTTCTTTCTTTGGGGGCCTTGTCTTTCCCTCTCCCTGATTCCTGGTCTCCTTGAACAGAACAGTGCTCCTCTACCACACCCTTTGGCCACAATTTCCTATCTTACTTTGGGTCCAGAGAAGTGGGACTATGTACTAAACCTTTGTTAACTATGAGCCAAAATAAACTTTCCTTCATCTTAGGTTGTTCTTGATGGATGTTTTGATCACAGTGATATAAACCTATTACACTGGCCAATAAATATTTGTTGAATAATGAGTGAGTGAATGATTATGCCAGACACTTCACTAGACATTGAGGATTTGTCTAGTCGGGGAAGACAGACAAATGTATGCCAGGTAGTATTAAGTGCTACAAAGAAAATTAAAATGGGGTGTATTGTAAAGAAGGATTTTTTTTTTTTTTTTTTGTTCCAGGGATTAAACCCAAGGGCACTTAACCACTAAGCCACATCCCTACCTCTTCTTATTTTTCAATTTCAAGACAGGATCTCATTAGGTTGATCCTCCTACTTCAGCCTCTGGAGCTGCTGGGATTACAGGTGTGTGCCACAAAGGAGGACACTTGTGGCCCTCTGAACAGGATGGACTCCCTACCCTAATTTGTTTTAGATGTCAAGTTGAAAGGGTTTATTCCTCACAAAATGAAGTTTTTCAAAGAAAAAGAGCAGGGACGCTTCTAAGCAGGTCTAAAATTGACCTGACACAAAGGGAAAAGAAACTGGCTTGGGTTTTTGCTGACTGAGGGTAATTCCAGTGTGATAGTTCCTACATGACATTTGAATTTCCCACAGGGTGTCAAAGAAGGGCGCATTCAGGCTATCTTAGCTTGCCAAAATGTGGGTAGGAGAGGAAGAGGGGAGGGAATAAGGTTTAAAAGCTGTCAGCAGTCAAACATCGAAAATGGAATCCAACCCTTTATTAAGTTTTTATATTGGAGGATCTGGGAAAAAACCTCTCAAGAGACATTTTAGCAAAAACTTGAAAGAATTGGAATGATCTATGAAGGTATTTGATAAGCATCCTTCCCGGCAAATTCAAAGGCCCAGTGGCAAGAGAGGAGTTGGTATGTTCAAGAAACAGCAACGAGGCATTGTGAACAAAACAGGATCACCTGAATGTATGCAGTTAAGATTCTACTGCGTGCAAAAAAAAAAAAAAAAAGCTCTGTATTAGGTAACTTCTTATGAAGAAAATTATAAAGCTACTGGAAATTTACAGAAAACTCAAATAGTTACATTCATATCTAGGAAGATAACAGTCTCAGAGAAGTATCAATACTTAAATCTATAAATTTAATTCAATGCTGGTACAATCCCACTAGTGTTTTCCATAGAACCTCATCAGTTGATTCTAAAATATATGAGCTAGCAAAGGGCCAAGATAAGCAAAACTAATTTTGAAGACAAGATCAGGGAGGATTTGATATAAAAATATCAAAACTTACTATAAACTCGTAAGGTGTGGTTTTGGTAGTGATGGACACTCAAACCAAAAAAAAAAAAAAAAAATCTTTCCATATGGAGACATAATTTTTTTTTTTGTCTCACAGAAATGACACTGAATTCAAGCCAGGCATGATGGTGTATGCCTGTAATCCCAATGGCTCATGAAACTAGGGCAGAAGAATCCCATGTTCAAAGTCAGTCTTGGCAACTTAGTGACGCTCTAAACAACTTAGCAAGGCCCTGTCTCAAAAGATAAAATACAAACGACTGGGGATGTGTCTTGGTGGTTAAGTGCCCCTGGATTCAATCCCCAGTACCAAAAAAAAAAGTGACCCTGAATTCAGATCAATGAGAGGAGGAAAAGAAAAATCATTAAAAGGGTGCTGGCACAGTCATATGAAAAATAAAATTGGTTTGGACCCAATACCAGATAAATTAAATATGAATACTAACACTTTTTAATAAAAGATTTAAAAGAAAACACAGGATATTAATACAACATTGAATATGAAAGTATTTCCCAACGAAACTATAAAAGATAAATTTGACCTGACAGCATTAAAATGTAAAACTTTTGTTGTCAAACTCGCTCAAAAAGAAAGAACATAGAGAATATATTTTCAAAAGTGCCAAAATTTAATTAGTATTCAGAATGCATTAAGAACATCTGAATCAATAAGGAAAGACACGGAAAAACCAGCAAAAAGTATGAACTGGCAATTGGCAGATGAAGAAACATCAATGGCCAATGTTAAAAATTTTTACTTCCAGTAATTGTGAATTAGTTCATTCTAATGAATAATCTCATGATAAATACTTTTAGAAGCTGAAAAAATGCAAAATGTACTCTCTTGAAGATACTTGAGAGTAAACTATATAGTTAAGGGCTGCTAGACCAGCATCAGGGAGAGAATGAGAGCTTATCCTGTACTGCCAGGATCTACAGATGCTTTAGCAAGTATGAACTATTACAGTAATGTTTTGTTTTTGTACTACTAGCCTCATACATGCCAGGGAAAATGCTCTGGCCTAGAGCTACACCCCTATAAAAATTTCATTTTTTAAATTATTTATATATTGGCACCAGGGATTGAACCCAGGGGCACTTAACCACTGAGCTACATCCTCAGTCCTTTAAAATTTTTTTTTTATTTTATATAGTTGTAGATGGACACAATACCTTTATTTTTGTTTATTTATTTGTATGTGGTGCTGAGGATCAAACCCAGTGCCACAGTGTGCAAGCAAGGCAAGTGCTCTACTGCTGAGTCACAACTCCAGAAGGCCCCCCAGTCCTTTTTATTTTTTATTTTGAGAAAGGATCTCACTAAGTTGCTTGAAGCCTTACTAAATTACTGAAGCTGGCTTTGAACTCTCCTTGAATGGTTGGGATTGCAGGCCTGCACCACTGCATATGACTAAAAATTATGTTTTCAGACAGGCTCTTGCTTAGTTGCCGAGGCTAGCCTCAAACTTGCAATTCTCCTGCCACCTGTCATGATTGTGTTTTAAGCCTGTGATTTTTGACATGCTTTGTTTTCTTCTCCCATATTTTTATTTATGCATTATAGTTGTATATAATGGATTTTTTGTTACATTCACAAATGCATGCAATAAACAATATAATTTGGCAATATCATTTCTCAGTATTTCTCCTTCCATTCCCTCTTCCCTTCCCCCCTTGGGGTGTTTTGTTATATAGCAATAGGTGACTGATTTCAAATAAATACACAAGGACTGGGTTTGTAGCTCACTGGTAGAGCACTTTCCTAGAGTGTCCAAGTCCTGGATTCAATTTCTAGCACTGCAAAATAAAAATTTTTAATTAAAAAATAAAATAATAATTCATAGCTACCTGTAGGAGAACGCAAGGAGATGTGAACTAGAATGAGTACAGAAGCTTTAACTACTTTATCTCAGTATTTTTAAAATTTTTTTTTAGTTGTAGATGAACACAATGTTTTAATTTTATCTATTTTTTTAAATGTGGTGCTGAATACTGAGGCATGCAAGGTGAGTGCCTTACCACTGAGCCACAACCATAGCCCAGTAATTTTTTTTCAGTAATTTTTTATTTCTTAAGTTGATGTGAATACACAGAGGTTTGTTACTTTCTTTTTAACTCTTACATATAAAGATAACCTTTTTTTATGATATGTTCTAAAGACATTCTTTTTCATATGTTCTTTTGTATTTAATTTTTTATATATTTTCTTAAAATATCTTGTTTATAACTAAAGAAACTTTTTTATACTTAGATCTTTAATCCATTTGTAACTTTTTTCTACAGTATGAATATAACTGAATTATTTTCCAAGTGTGCTAGTTTACTGGCCCTGTTTCTCCTTTTATCCACACCTCTTGCCATGTGACTAGTCCTTGACTAAAGAGGTTGAAAGCATCCCCTCTCTCACCTTTGACTTTTGGGTGTGACCATGCAATTTTTGGATAGTACAGACTTAATGCAATCAAGGCTTTTATTTTATACCATTGCTATCAGCACAAGAACATACCCTAAATAACCAGCTGGTGCAAAAATAAAAATGACTGTAGATCTATAACTTGAAGGAGAACCAACAAGTGGAGCCTAACCTAAGTAGGTATGTGCGCCAGCCAACAGAGAGCCCAGCCAAATACAGAAGTATGAGTACCTTTAAAAGATAAAGATTTGGGCTGGGATTGTGGCTCAGTGGCAGAGCCCTTGCCTCGAAAGTATGAGGCACTGGGTTCAATCATCAGCACCACATCAAAATAAATAAAGGTACTGTGTCCATATACAACTAAATATATATATATATATATATAATTTTTTTTTAAAGGTAAAGACTAGACTGGGGATGTAGATCAGTGGTAAGGGCACAAGAGCATCATGAGGCACACCTGTAATCCAGCAACTTGGGAGGAAGATTGAGTTCAAAGCCAGCCTCAGTAACTTAGCAAGACCCTGCCTCAAAAAGGGTTGGGGACATGCTCAGTGGTTAAGTGTTCCTGGGTTCAATCCCTTCTCCCTTCATCATCCCCCTCTAATAAAAACTAAAGTACTAGGAATTAAAAATGTATGCAATGGGCCTGGGATTGTGGCTCAGTGGTAGGGCACTTGTGTAGCAAGCGTGAGGCATTAGGTTCGATCCTAAGCACCACATAAATAAATAAACTAATTCATTAAAAAATAATAAAATAAAGATATTGTGTCCATCTATAACTAAAAAAATTTTTTTAAATGTATGCAATGAAGAGTAAACACAGTGCTTCTCAAACAAGATTGTGAACAGATTCACTTGTTTAACCCCAAACAGACTTCTCTTTCGAAAATTCACTCGCCTCTGAACACACCCACATACTCATATCAATATGGAATGGCACCACGGTGACCTTATTTTCCTATCTTAGGAAACTAGTTCAAAAATCTAGATATATCTGTCAGAACAAAATTTGGCAAAGATTCACGATCAGTGATATACATAGTCTCCAATTATAGTTCTGTAACGTAAAATAATCCATCTTTCCCTATGCAATAATTATTCCACTAATGAAGCACTTTATTGGGGACTCATACTGAAATATTTTCACTCAGGCATGAAATATTAAGCACATGTTAAGTGACAATTTTGTTTGCTGAAAATATTAGCTGTCACGGAATATTTTACAACGGAAACCAGATAATTTAAACTGGCGATACGCATAACTGTTTTCCTCAAACTGCCCTTAAATTATAACTGTTCAGAGATTTTTTTTCTAGTGTAGGTTTAAGCCCCCAAATCCCAGCACTCTCAGCGGGACTCTCATTTCCAAGATTCAGGGAATCATTCCTTTCCTTTTCCTTGCCAATGTTCGTTCTTCCTCAGCTTTGTTCACCCTTCGCTTTCACAGAACTCTTAACTGCAGACCCGCACCAAAGACCAGCCTCTTCGCCTTTGGGAGTCAAAACCCGCCTTTCCCACAGCAGTGGCACACTCCTACACACCCGGAAGCTCCGCCTCCTACACACCCGGAAGCTCCGCCTCACACACCTGATCCTTAGCCGGAAACGCTCCCGGAGTTCCGGAGCCTCACCGGTTTCGTTCCGTGAGACTTGTGGGGCGGAAACGTCGCAAAGCATTCTGGGGACGGCGCTGTGCCGGAGTTGTTTTAGTCCTTGGGGTTCTGTTTGGCTTCGGGAGGGTTACGGATTTGCCGGCTTCCAGCCCACTGAAGCTGCCAGCATGTCAGGGGTGCGCGCTGTGCGGATCAGCATCGAGTCGGCCTGCGAGAAGCAGGTCCAGGAGGTGGGCCTGGATGGCACTGAGACTTACTTGCAGCCGCTGTCCATGTCGCAGAATCTGGCGCGTCTGGCCCAGAGGATCGACTTCAGCCAGGGTTCTGGTTCCGAGGAGGAGGAGGCGGCGGGGGCCGAGGGCGATGCGCAGGATTGGGCGGGCGCGGGGTCCAGTGCAGACCAGGACGACGAGGAAGGTAGGGCTGGGGTCTCTGTGCCCGCCGGCATGATGTCACTCTGCCTCTCCCGCGCTCGGTGAGATTGCCTGCGTGGGACTACTTTGAAAGTGTCACTCTCGCTCAGTAGTAATCTCACCGTCGTCTTTTATCATAACCGGACACTTCAAACATTTCTGGACTCTTAGGACTCTTTGTGCAGGTCCCCCGGAGAGGGAGTGGTTGAGACCATGTCATTGGTGAAGTGTTCCAATAATCACTTAAAAAAACCCAGACGCCTATAATGTGTCACACTAGTGGTTAAGAGCTCAGTACCTCTTATGGCTTATTAGCTGTGTGGTCTTAGAGTGAGTTAGAAAGACAATTGCAGGCTGGGGATATAGCTCAGTTGGTAGAGTACCTTGCATGCACAAGACCCTGGGTTCTATCCCCAACACCACACACACACACACACAAAAAAGACAATTGCAAGTTTTTGAAGGTTTTTAAGTGGAGACAGATTGTGTTCTTAAAGATTATTCTGAATGCTTTGTAATAAATGAATTATAGGGAAAACTAAACTGGAATGGAGGAGGCTACTTAGGAGAGAATTAAAGAAGCAACATCAGTGTGTTTTTGGATTCTCCTAAATGAAGAAAGTAAAACAAAATAATGGAAGAAATAACAAAAAAATCATATAACTTAGGAAATATGAGACTTAAGATAGGAAACATAGACCTTATAAAGGAAAATATAACTATATAAAACTTAAAATTAAAAAAGATGCCATAAAGCAAAATGTAAGTGGCAGTCTGGGAAAAGTATTTGTAGTACATATTACGTAATTGGTTGATAATCCCTGATATTCAAAGAGTCCTTCAAACTGAAAAGAAAAAGATGACTGGAAAACTAGGCCAAAGATATATAAACTGTCAGCTCATAGAAGAGAGACTTCAGATGCTAATAAACATTGTAAACTCAGTCTCATTAGTGGAGAGAAATGAAAATAGTTAAGATGCATAAAATTGGCAGAAATTTTAAAAGATTATTAATACCTGTTGTTGGAAATGTGAATTAATAAAGACACTTTGGGATTTTAATATGTGCAAAATTTTAAATGTGCATTTTTTTTGATCCACCAATACCATGCCTAAATATTTAACCCTACAAAAAAGTTGTATATTCATGAGTATGTGTCCTAGATGTTTACAATTGCTAGCATTGTTGGAAGTAATCTACAAGTCTGTTAAAGAGGAATGGTTAAATGTATTATGCATTCAAGTTCCAAATATCATGATGTTAAAGAATGAAGTGGTTCTATCTGGGTTGACGTGGAAGTTATCTCTAGAACATATTAAAGGAGAAAGGGGAGCATGTAATAGAAAAATGGGAATATGTATATTTATCAGCTGTAATGATTAAGTATAATAATAAGAAATATTATAGTCATTTCAGACTTTATATAGGTATATGAATGAATAGGAAAATATTTTTTCTCCCCTTAGTACTGGAAATTAAACCTTGGAGGGCTTTACAACTGAGCTTCATCCTCATCTTTTTTGGTTTTTATTTTTGTTTTTCTTTTGATATAGGGTCTCCCCTAAGTTTCAGAGGCTGATTTCAAACTTGCCTTAGTCTCTGGGATTCCAGGAATAGCCCACCATGCCTGGCATATTTTCACTTTTTACTCTCATTCTTTGTTAGAATTCTGTATAGCAAGTATGTATTTAATAAAATATATGTGTATGTGTGTGCGTGTAATTAAAGGGAACATGTACTAATAGTAGCTAAAATTGGTTCTGGCATTATACGTCAATTTGGGAGAGCGGTGTGTACTGGAGATTGAACTCAAGGACACTTGACCACTGAGCCACATCCCCAGCCCTAGTTTGTATTTTAGAGATAGGGTCTCAGGGAGTTGCTTAGCCTCTTGCTTTTTGCTGGGTCTGGCTTTGAACTCCTGTCTCAGCTCCCTGAGCCACTGGGATTACAAGCGAGCACCAACATGCCCTGCAATAGGCCATTTTTTAGTTCATACTTTTCAGTATTTTGGAAATTCTCTAAATTACTTATTCAGATACTAAAAGCTTGAAGGGAAAGGATCATTGAAAACCTTGCATAAGAGCCAGACATGTAATCCCAGTAGCTGGAGAGGATGAAGCAAAAGGAACTCAAGTTTGAGGCCAGCCTCACAACTTGCAAGAAGACCCTGTCTCACAATGAAAACTAAAAAGGACTGGGGATGTAGCTCAGTGGTAAAGCACCCCTAGATTCAATCCCTAGTACCAAAAAGGGTGGGGTAGGGGGCGGGCTTGCATAATTTTAAAAATCTATAATGTTATAATGATAGATACAACCTGTGGAAATTAAATATCATATTTGTTTTGCCGTAGTAGGATTGTTAATTTAAATGTTAATAAAGATTCAAGAAAGTATATAGGGAATGGGCAGGCTGGGAAAAGTAATTTGAAATAAAATATATTTTTTATTTCAATTTTATTTTTTCTATTAGTACTCTAAAACTCTAAATGAGTTTTCTATCTTCTATCCAATGTAACACCTCTGTATTTCTTTTTCTCCCATTTTCTAGGGTTGGTAAAATTTCAGCCTTCCCTTTGGCCTTGGGATTCAGTGAGGAACAATTTGAGAAGTGCCCTTACAGAGATGTGTGTTCTGTACGATGTTCTCAGTATTGTTAAAGATAAAAAATTTATGACTCTTGATCCTGTTTCTCAGGATGCACTTCCTCCAAAACAGGTATTTATGGGCTTTATTGAATAAGCTTTATGGGGCTTTTTAATACATTCCAGGACCATTTTTTGGTTGTGTGTATTGTTCCCTTTTCCTTTCTTGAAAAATTAAGTCCGAATGTAGATGTGAAGATTAACTAATCAAAAACAAAGGCACAAAATTGCACCTTCTATTATTTTATTATATACCTTTGACCTTTGGAAGAGTTAAATTTCATTAACACTATAATAATTTAAAGTTCCTAAAACTTTTTTTTTTTTTTTTCCTTTTGGTACTGGGGATTTAATTCAGGGATGCTCTACCACTGGACCTTATCCCCAGCCTTTTTAATTTTTATTTTCAGACATGGTTGCTTAGGGCCTTGCTAAATTGCTGAGGCTGACTTTGAAATTTAATCTTTCTGCCTCATCCTCCTGAGTCACTGGAATTACAGGTGTGTGTCCCTATACCCATGGTTCCCAAATCTTAACAAATTTTTAGGGTCCTTGATCTGTCATATATTTTACAACAATGTGATGATAAGCCATGTGTGGTGGCACACTTCTATAATCCTAGCAGTTTGGGAGGATGAGGTAGAAAGATCACAACTGAGGCCATCCTGAGCAAATTAGTGAGGCTATATCTCAAAATGAAAAATAAAAAAAGATCTGGGGCTGTAGCTTAGTAGTAGAGCACCACTAGGTTCAATCACCAGAATAGCAGGGGGAAAAAAAAGTGATAATAAAATGACTTTGGAGACTTGGGTACAAATCCTACTTCTGCCCTCACTAGTTGTGTGACTTTAAGTAAGTTGTTTTCTGAGTCTCAGTTCTCTCTTCTGACTAACCCCTCTAGTTTTTTAGAGATTGATTGGAAAAGTTATGCAGAATTATGGAGGATATTGAAAACTGGGTAGAACTGTTGATATTTGATAAAGAATATATTCAGTTAACATTTTAAAATGAAAGGCAGCTGAAGGAGGAATTGGTGAATGAAGAGTCTGCAACATCATTTCTCATATAGTAATAGTTTTGGAATCTAGAGACATGGTTTTGGAAGACTTTATAGAGTTTAGTAAATCAGCTTCCTTCCTTTTGCAGAGAGAAAACTAAGGCCCATAGAAGTTTACACTCTGTTGAGGGTTACAGTGAAGCCAGTAGTTAGAGAGCAAAGACAGAGCTGCAGCACCTCACTCAGCACACTACTTTCCCACCATTCTGTGCTTTTCCTAGAAAGCATTCTCCAGGAATTTCTTATGATCTCTAGGAACTTCTTTGTCTTAGATTTCCTAATATAATCAAAAGATTGTTGTGGCATTTTTGTGAAACATTTTATGTGCTTTTGACTTTTTACACAGCTTACAATCTTCCTTTTATTAAATCTGACTTTGTGACTTTTGGGAATTGTATCTGGTTAATAAAATACATGAATTGGTAGTGATTATGAACATATATGTATGTATTTATGATATAGATTTTGATTTCTATTCAGTTATCAAAAAAGTCAGCATTCAGTAAAGTACATTTAATATTAATGCTACATGTTTTTGGTCTTAATTCCAAAAGCATTTTAATTGCTGTGATAATACAAGATGATTTTTGAGTTATACTCCATTAGAGTCATGTATTTTATCCATTAAATCAAATATATGTCAGGCATCATTGTACTGTCTGTATATATAATGATTTATGCCATCACATTAAATTACCACCCAAGCAGGATTAGATGTTAATTGCAAGTGTGAGTGTCACAAAAGGGTATACACATTGATGGGGGCAGAGATGGCAGTATATAAGGAGAGGAATGGCAGTGCATTAGAAGGGACCCTAACCCAGCACTGGTAAAGTCATGCCAAGTGTTATGTTCTAATTTCTGGTCCATTGTGATGTTTTTCATTCAATAGAATTCTATATGAATTGACCAAAGAAATAAATTAAGATGTGTTTTTTGTTGTTGTTGTTGTTTTTTTTAACCACTGGTGCTGGAGATAAGGGTTTTTTATTGTTGTTGAATTTGTTTTGTTTTGTTTTACCTTACTGGGAATTGAACCCAGAGGTGCTTCACCACTGAGCTACATCTCCAGCTCTTTTAATGTTTTTTTTTTTTTAATTTTGAGACAGGGTTTTGCTAAATTGGAAACCTTCTGCCTCAACCTCCTGAGTAGATAGGATTTCAGGCTTGGATTAAAGTTCTGTGCCATTGTGCCTGCTCTAAGTTTATTTTTTTAAAGCATTATTATGCATATTTCACCTCCCGTCCAACTTCTCTTTGCTTTTCTTTAATTTCTAAATTTTCTCTTGAGTAGGTGTTTTGTTTCTGAATTTAAAATCATCTAAAAATAATACAAAACTGCAGTTTAGAATTGTTTTTCATAGAATCCTCAGACATTGCAACTAATATCTAAAAAGAAGTCACTTGCTGGAGCAGCACAAATACTGTTGAAGGGAGCGGAAAGACTGACTAAATCAGTTACGGAAAATCAAGAAAACAAGCTACAAAGAGACTTCAACTCTGAGCTCTTGAGATTAAGGCAACACTGGAAACTTAGAAAAGTTGGAGATAAAATTCTTGGGGATCTGAGCTACAGAAGTGCAGGTATAGATAATTGTTATAAACTATGCTTTTGATGTAAGTGTATAGGTTTAATTGTAATGCTACATACACATCCTTCTTAGAAAGGAGACATTATATTGTTTCTTAGCTACATGTTACATTTTGAAAATTTAATATCTGTACACATAAGCCAGAAACTACTCATTGTTTAGTTTCAGTTTGAAAACCTTTTCAGTACACTTAACAGAAAGTTCAGAGATGAGGTTTACAAGACTCCTGGATCAGAGATGTAAGCTTTGAATGCTAAGAATGAGGCTGGATAGTTGAAATAGCAATTGTAGAGTGATATCTTAAAAGAATTCATTTGAGCTGGGGATGTAGCTTAGTTGGTAGAATGTTTGCCTTGCATGCCCAAGGCCCTGGGTTCAATCCCCAACACCACCAAAAAAAAAAAAAAAGGATTCATTTGCCAGAGCAAGGGCATCATTATGCTTAAATTAAAGGAAGAAAAGTTTATGTGGTTTGGTTAAACACTAGAGGACTGAAATGCCTCTGCATTGATGTGAATAGGGGAATTTTTAATTCTGAAAGTGAAATCCTATTACAAACATGAATTCAAGATGATATGTCCATTTTTACATTTTAGTAGATGGTCTGTAAAAGCAGTGCTTGCTGGTTTTAAAAATTCTAAGTTCTTTCCCACAAATAATTATGGGCAAGTATATAACCTAATTTCTCTTTGGGATGACCACCCATGATTATGAAAGGATTCAAATACATCATTTTTAATTGCAAGAAGACTTTGAATATCTTCCTTTGTTATAAAAGTTACATTTAATTGCCAACAGGTCACATAATTTAACAGATTTACCCAGATTTCTGTATGGCGCAAAAACAGTCACATCAAAATCTGATAACTAGTTGAAAAAAGGGTATTGTGTGCACTATTTTTTTCTTTCTATTGCTGAATTCAGAACACTTTTTAATTGTAACCTGATTACAGAGACTGAGCTCCAGAAGTAGTACATTTGTAAGGTTTAATTATTTTCTAGAAACACTTCCATTTTTATTGAAACTCCATTACAAAAATTTGTGTGGTCTGTGGAGTTCATATTATAATGATACCATTAAATTAAGGAATTTTTTTTTAAGATAAATAACTTATTTTTCCTGCTTCATTTATTCCTTTTGCTCATTGTTCTGCTCTTACCTTCCTCCATAACACACAACCCTTTTTAGTTTTTTTTTGGGGGGTCCTGGGGATTGAACCCAAGAGCCCTTTACCACCAACCTATATCCCTAGACTTTTTAATTTATTATTTTGAAACAGGATCTTACTAAGTTGCGTAGGGATTCCAGTCCCTTTTATATTTTTATTTTTAAGCAGGTCCTTGCTAAGTTGCTGAGGCTGGCCTTAGACTTGGGTGATTATCCTGAGTTGCTGGGATTATAGGTGTGTGCCACCATGCCCAGCTCAAAATACACAATATTTTTAGTGGGAACTTAATTTTATAATTCAGTGATGTGGATATATAGTATTACATAATTAATAAAATGTGCTAAATTAATGTTGTTTTTTATTTTCCTATCTTTAATATCTCATTAGGGTCTCTTTTTCCCCATCATGGTACATTTGAAGTAATAAAGAATACAGATATTGATCTGGATAAGAAGATACCTGAAGATTACTGTCCTCTTGATGTACAAATTCCTAGTGATTTAGAGGGGTCTGCATACATCAAGGTATTTGTCAAAGCACTTTTTAAGTAACTTCTTATCAATTGCCCTGAAGCTGGTTTGCTGACTTTTCCCCCTTGTTTTTATTGTCATACAGGTTTCCATTCAAAAACAGGCTCCAGACATAGGTGATCTTGGCACAGTTAACCTCTTCAAAAGACCTCTGCCCAAATCCAAACCAGGTGTAGTTATGTTCTTTCTTAATTTATATTTTTAGATAAACTGAAAATAAATATAGATAAGACAAATAGGTGTTTTGAAGTAAGAACAATTAGAAATATACTTTTATAATTTGTAAATAAAGCATTAGTGAATAGCTGTGCAATTTTTTTTTGCTCTAAATTGAACTTATTTACTAGTTTTCTCTGTGTGAAAGAAGTAAGATTTTTATATTTTAGAAAGAGTATATAGTAATGCAGTGTTTTCCAAACTTGTTTTATGTATTCAAGTTTTCATGTAAGCTGGATTATACATAAATGGTTAGAAGTTGATATATACATAAACCTTTTGTCTTTCAGGTTCACCACATTGGCAGACAAAATTAGAAGCAGCACAAAATGTTCTCTTATGTAAAGAAATTTTTGCACAACTCTCTCGGGAAGCTGTTCAGATCAAATCACAGATCCCGCATATTGTGGTGAAAAACCAGATAATCTCTCAGCCCTTTCCGAGTATGATCAGATAATTCTTTGAGATGGAATGGATAGCTGTTTGGGTGTGTAGGGGGAATAACAAAAGCAAAGAGAGAGTAGTGTGCTATCCAGAATAGCAGCCAGTAAAGCACAAAACACAAGCTACACTTCCAAGTCTGTTCTCTATACTAAATAGTGTAACTCTTGGATTTTAAAGCAGTGTATATAAAATATTTACACTAGCATGGCTACTCTTCAGCATCAGTTAAACAACTAAGATTTACCAGGGATACTGTCCTGTCTAAATGAGATGTTAGCTTAAAAATGTTTACTTATTATATTTCTAATTTGTGGAAATTGGGTTTTTATTATTCAAGAGCAATTACTTATTCTAAAACTCAGTTTATAATTAGCTGTGCACTTATATTTTACATAAATTCTTAGGATTGTGTCCTTAGGAAGGAGGAATAGGTTTTAGAAGTGAAAAATTCCATCCCAGTTCTAATGGGAGCAGGGGAAGGGTGTCTGTCTTCCAGTTGACAAGACCAGATACCAACTCTGTATTTAAAAAAAAATCAACAGTAGCAAAAACCTTGTGTTTTGTTTTGGTTTTTTTAAGGTAGGAAGAAAAAAAATAATTATATGGCATATTTACCAGTCTTCAGCCACAATTTAAGGTCGGCAGCCATATTATGGGTCAATAGAATTTGAATCATCCAAATACATATGAGTTTGTTATATTCATGAGTGGTCATTTTCATATAAAAATGTTAATCATAAAGCCTGATCTTCAAGTTTAGAATGTGCCTTTTTGAGAAATGATTCTGATTATACTTTATGAAGACAGTTTGTACCTGTCTATATCTTAGCTTATATGTGTCTGTCCTGCTTCTTTTTGTAAATAGGCTTGCAGTTATCTATTTCTTTGTGCCATTCCTCAAATGATAAGAAATCCCAAAAATCTGCTACTGAGAAGCAAAGTCCAGAGGACCACCTCTATGTCTTAGAGCATAATTTGCATCTACTGATTAGAGAGGTAATGAAATAAACATTTTTCTTTGCATTGTGGTAATCATGTCCAGGGCAGTGACTATGCACCAATCCTTGCCTGTGCCTCAGTTATTCATTTAACAACAACATTGACTACCTGAAATGAAAGAACCTTGCTACATGCCCAGGTATACAGGGGTGATCCTAACCCAGTACCTGTACCCAAGAGTGTGTGTGTGTGTGGTGATGGGGGATGTGTATTTGATACCAGGGACACTACTACTGAGCTGCACTCCCTGTCCTTTTTTTGAGACAGTCTTGCTAAGTTTCCAGGGCTGGCCTCAAATTTGTGTTCCTCCTACCTCAGCCTCCTGAGTTACTGGGAATTTCAGGCCGCCATGTGCCATCATGCCTGGCTCCATGCCTACTTTTTAGTGGTACAAGTATACAAATTGTATAAGAGAAATATAAGAAGCATATGATAAAGGGTGCCAAGGGTAGGATGATTCTGATTAAGGTAGAGGGTGAGGAAAAGTATATTGCCATGGCCTGTGAATGGCGATATTGAGTTACTTCAGGACATATTCTACACATAGGTCATCTCCAACTGTGTTTCCAGAGTTCTGATTCATAGTTTAAGGCTAATTTCTTTAGAATCTCCTTAGAAACTTTATAAAAGTACATAGCCCAGCCTCCTTAACTCACTCAAAAATCTGGCTGAATTGTGGTAATTTAAGAGCCAGTGTTTTTTGAAGACACTCGGGGGCTAGGACTGAGTTCACTGAGCCCTGGCTTCAATCCCCAGCACTGAAAAAAATTCTAAACATTGAAAAAAAAAAAAAATTAAAAGCTCCTCCAGGGTTCTAATAGACAGCCAGGTTTGGGAACCAGTAATTGAGGTTGTACTGGGATTACTATGTCCTGATTGTATGCATTCTCTTGATAAGACTCTGTGAATAATAATTGTTTTGTTTTTAAAACTTTCAAAATAAAAGTTACAGCTTGAGAGGGGGCCCTTTTGTCTACAAACTTGTATTATGCATGACCTAGAAGATAACTTGCATATATTTCTGTGCCAACATTTCTTTTGTATTTAGTTCATATCCATTGACTTCTCTTTTTCCAAAATGTGAGCCATGTTTTTGATTGAACATTGTATAGTATTTACTCCATAGCTAGTGGTCATTTAAAATGGCTATTTTTATTAGTTTCATAAACAGACCTTGAGTTCCATCATGATGCCTCACCCAGCAAGTGCACCTTTTGGCCACAAGAGAATGAGACTTTCAGGTCCTCAAGCTTTTGATAAAAATGAAATTAACTCATTACAGTCCAGTGAAGGACTTCTGGAAAAAATAATTAAACAAGCAAAGCATATTTTTCTGAGGAGTAGGTAAGGATGAATAAAGTTACTGTTTTTCTTTGAAATTGTAGTCCTCTTTCTACAGTTGTTTCATTTATGTTATTATTTGGATGTTTCAACCTTTTTTTTCCAGGGAGAGGAAGATGGCTGCAGTGTGAAAGTTTATGGTGGTGGACTAGGTCTTAGCAAGTGTGGGGAAGACTTTGATCCATGGTTGATCTAAATTACTGTATTGCTACTATCACTACAGCAAATGCTTGCAAAGATTACTGACTAGGGACATGCTTTAGGACAAGTTGCTTCGTTCCTTCCGCTCTGCCTTCCTTTTCTTTCTTTCTTTCTTTTTTTAAATACTAGGATTGAACCCAGGGCACTCTGCTACTGAGCTAAGTCCCCACCCTTTTTTAAAAAACATTTTGAGACAGGTCTTGCTAAGTTGTCCAGGCTGGCCTTGAACTTGTGATTCCCTTACTTTGTTTAAATGGGATTATAGGAGTGCGCCATTGTTCTCAGCAGAACACCATACTTTGTTCAGTAACCCATCTTTGAGATACTTATTCCCAAACATTTTATGATTTGGAAGAATTTTTTCCTATATTTACTTATTTAATTCTGTTCTTTGGAGTAGGTAGTGTTAACCCCATTTTCACAGGTGAGAAGATTGAGGCTTTGAGAATATAGGGAAGCTTGCCTAAGGTTACAAAGTTAAAAGTAACAAAATTGGTATTTATGTTCAAAGTTTCTTGGTAAGTGATTAAGCCCCAGCTTAAATTTATCTTTCATCCTAAATTCCTTACTCCTTCCATGGTATCATGCTATCTTTTTCTTTCTTTTTTATTTTTATTTTTATTTTATTTTTTTGTTACTGGGGACTCAACCTACGGATGCTTTACCAATAAGCTACATCCCTAGTCCTTTTTTTTTTTAATTATTCTTTTTTTTATTTCTATTCCTTTTTGTTTGTTTGTTTGTTTGTTTGAGATAGGGTCCTGCTTAAGTTGCTAAGGCTAGCTTGAAACTTATAATCCTCTTTTCTCAGCCTCCTGAGTTGCTAGAATTATAGGCTTGTCCTGTATTTTCTAAAGTCTTCCTAATTCATTTTACTAAAAGCTGAATGATCTAAATTTCTATTCTAAGACTGTGAACTAATGTGCCCAAGTCCATGTATCTCCTAGTCTTATTTTCTTTCTTTTATGCATATTGTTTACAGAAGTACTTGATGTGGTTGGACATAAATAATGTTATCTTTTTCAGTACTAAAGGGTGGCTCTTCTATTTCATTGTTGGTACTTGGTGAGGAGGTCAGTTTTTACTTCATTCATAATTTTGCCTTGATAGTACTTCAGAATTGTCATTCAGTCAATACTTTATTTATCTTGTATTTTATTATTGATATTTTATTGTTGATTTTCAGTTTTTCCTTGCTGATACAATCATAGTTTTATTAATAATTAGTTCATAGTCTTAGCATGGAAATTTAGGCCATTCAGCTTTTACTTAAATGAATTAGGAAGATATGTTTAAGAAGATAATATGCTACAGTGGAAGGAGTAAGGTATTTAGGGTGAAAAATGTGTTTAATAAGCCAGTGTTCAATCACTTGGCAAGTAACTTTGGGCAAGTCATTTAGTATCTTTGGCTCTATACTTATTTCCTTTTAGTTGGGGATATAAGATTGATCTTGGGATCAAATTAAGAAACATATGCCAAAACTCCTTATAAACAGTAAAGTATTACATAGTAGGTTACTATTAATATTCCATTTATAAATTTCAGTGACAAAAGCTGTTAATTTGAGTGAATTACTAATTTGCAAATTTCTGAATGAACATAAAGTTAAATATTCTATGAATCATATGAGGGGTATAAGAAATAGCTGTCTTTATCGCTATTATAAATTTGAAAGTAGTAAGTACCCATCTTGTAAGCAGCAAAACTTTAAAAATGTTAATTTTGCCCCAGTTATACAAATAATGTGATGTCCAATAAGAACAGTAAAGAAAAAAAACCCATCTATGTAATACTATATACAGTGAAATCTATTAACACATTAATGTATTTTTACACATGTGTGTTGGGGTGAGTTTATCTCTCTCTCTCTCTCTCTCTCTTTTTTTAAACAAATCTGGAATCCTAAAAAAAAATTTTTTTTTTTTTTTTTTTTTTTGGTACCAGGGATTAAACTCAGGGCCATTCGACCACTGAGCCACATCCCCAGCCCTATTTTATATTTTATTTAGAGACAGGGTCTCACTGAGTTGCTTAGTACCTCGCTTTTGCTGAGGCTGGCTTTGAACTCAAGATCCTCCTGCCTTAGCCTCCTGAGCAGCTAGAATTACAGGCGAGTGCCACCACACCCATCTTCTAAAATATTTTTTAGTTTTTTATTTTATTTTATTCTTTGGCACTGGAAATCAAACCTGGGGCCTTGATCATGATAGGCAGGTGCTCTATCACTGAGTCACATCCCTAGTCCTAGAATCATAAAATCTTATATCCTGGTTTCACTTAGTATTATATTGTAATTTTTTTTCTTTTTCATTAAATGCTTCTCAAATATATTTTAGTAGTCATGTTATGTACTATTATGTGAATATTCCATTGTTTTCTTCCCAGTTCTCAGTTACTAGGTATTTTTTACTTCCAGTTTATTGATACGTGCTGAGTGGAATATTATCACATATATATCTATCTGTTATAGGAATTTCAAAGCACTGTCAGGGAAACAAATCATGGAAAAAGAAGAAAAAGTTAGGAACTGATATAAGACACCATAATGGAGCTAACCTTACAGGTGTTTATGTAAAAGCCCCTTGTCCCCAGTGGCTATTTTTATTTTTTCCTATTTTCTCAAGGCTTTTCTTTGTCTTTCCAGTAAATTAGAAACAGTAAAGTATTACATAGTAGGTTACTATTAATATTCCATTTATAAATTTCAGTGACAAAAGCTGTTAATTTGAGTGTATTACTAATCTTGAAAATTTCTGAGTGAACATAAAGTTAAATATTCTATGAATTATCTGAAGGGCATAAGAAATAGCTGTCTTTCCAGATAATTAGAAACTAGGGACCTTCAGTATTTTTTTTAAGTTGTCAACGGACCTTTATTTTATTTATTTATATGTGGTGCTGAGAATCTAACCCAGAGTCTCACACATTCTAGGCAAGCGCTTTACCACTAAGCTACAACCCTAGCCCCATGATTTATGCTTTGGATCTAAACAGTTACTATTATGTAAGATACAAAAGAAAGATTACTGTATTTGGAAATAAATTCCCTGGTTTTTGGTGTTGAAATTGGATTCGCATGTTTTGCAGCCTAGCCTGCAGCTACGTAACCTTGGGCATATTGCTTAACATTGCTAAATTTCTTTTTCTTTCCTTCTAAAAAATGGAGATGATGGTACCTATCTAACACAATGGTTGTTAGATTAAGTAATACTATACTCATTACAATATTTGGTATATGATGAGTACTTGAACCTCATTTCTCACTTGTATTTATTATATTTTCTCTCATGGAGTACAAGGATTTTTGTTGTTGTTGTTTTTGTTTTTGGAGGGTTTTATTGTTGTTGTTTTGTTTTTTGTGATGCTGGGAATCAGACTCAGGGCCTTATATATGCAAGGCACTCTACCAGCTGAGCTATATCCTCAGCCCAAGATTTTGGTTGTATTTAAAGTCTCCAGCTTTTCTTGAATATGATGATGATTCTATTACAATAATAGGTATAATTGTGGATGTGTCCCAAGTCATTTGTTACCAGGGATAAAGTACAGACATTTATGAATGATTCATATTCAAGTTAGTACCAGAGAAGTATCTTTCTCACTTGTGGTTTGACAAGCTTTCTTGAGTGAGACCAAACTAATGGAGTTAAAAGGGAATAAATGCATCCTGAATTGTGGTAATCAGGTGTGTGACCACAGCATGTTATAATGTGAAGCTGAGCACCAGCACATCAGTGCAGCGTGTGGGAGGTTCTTAGAACTCTCTGTACCTTTCTTTAAGATCTTTTTTTTAAAGTGGTAACATTTTCAAAAGTACTCATCTAATTTCCAATTTTTCATGAAAATGTTATGAGTGATTTAAATCCTTTCATTTATATGGTGACTTTTTAAAAATTTTACCTTCTTTTCTTTAAAAGAACTGCTGCAACCATTGACAGCTTAGCAAGTCGCATTGAGGATCCTCAGATACAGGCTCATTGGTCAAATATCAATGATGTTTATGAATCTAGTGTGAAAGTTTTAATCACATCACAAGGTTATGAACAAATATGCAAGTAAGTATCAAAAATAAAAGGTAGGTGTCTAATGTTAAGATGCTTGTTATGTCCTGGTTTTTGTTGAGTGATTATGTTAAGCTTTTGGTTTCTATTTGCTTGGGTGGCATAACATTCCAGCAAATTATATCAGCTATAAAGTGTTTGTGAGAATGAGAGGTAAGAATATGTAATATAGTGTCTCTTAGATAAATGTCACACATTTAAGCTACAGTAAGAGGTAAACTCCAGCACTGAATAGAAAGCTGTCTTGCCATCTCTAATGTTTAGTTCATGTTTAGAGGCTGTGGCAAGTCTAGGGTATATGAAGAAGTAAAGAAGGCCATTTATATTAGAGCCCATACCCTCCATTTTGTGCCTAGAACAGCTGAAGTTTCTCATCAGAGCTGGTATTGATCTGGGTCTAATCCAGTTCATGATTGTGCCCTTAAAAGTAAGTTGATAGCTGTCTGTCTGTGAAGGGGTCAGAATGATTTTTGTCCATTAATGGAAATGCAGTGTATTTGATTTGCATTCACACATCAGAAGTTAATACAGTTGGCTAGGAGCCATGAAAAGGGGTTTTGGGTCTCATGTGAGCCTCTACAAAATTTAACAACTGACAAGATATAGCTGAATTCCTTCTTCCAGGTTAGTCTGAGAGAACTGCCAGCATACATTTGTCAGGATCTGTGAGTACCTTTTTATTTTTCAAGTGTTAGCTGCATATTCAGACATACCTAACTAACTACAGCAAGCAAAACACTGTGAGAGACAAAATTGCCACCATTTGGAGTATGAGTGGAAAATGCATTTATAATGCTGTTTTTCATTATGGAAATTTTAATTCACTGTGTTTTAAATGTAAAATAGTAGATAATGTAAGATCAAATATGGAAGATTAAAAAAGAGCATACAATGAACAAAAAATTAATTTTGAAATTCCAGGGCAAAAAGGTAGAGTGAAGCTGGATCATAGTTTTCTAATTCTTTTTATTTTTGTATTTTTTTTACTTGTTCTAATTAGTTATACATGACAATAGAATGCATATTGACACATTATACATAAATGGAGTAAACGCTCTCCTTATGGTATAGTTTTCTAATTCTGTGCTTCAAGAAATAAAATAATCAGGGCAATTTGTTTGTTGGGGGGTGTTGAATATAAATGAAACAAGTTTGGGTGGGTCTTTAAACTGTTATGGTGGGTGATAGGACCATAGGCCTTCATTATATTATAATCTACTTCTGTTTGTGTTTAATTTTTTTCCATAATAAAATAATTAGTATTAAGATACTTTGTATACAACCAGAGATATGAAAAATTGTGCTCTATGTGTGTAATATGAATTGTAATGCATTCTGCTGTCACATATAAATAAAAAAAAAATATTGAGTGAGTGAGCACAAAAGGAAGAAAAAATTATCAGCATTCAGTAGTTTGTGTCTGGAACCAAGACCAAAACAACTGTTAGATTTAATTATAGAACCCAATGTAAATTCTGTGAAGAAAGTTTAGTGATAATGTAGCCTTGACAGAATGAGAGGGCATCAGGGAGTAGAAGGGACTAATAAGATGCCTTTTTTCTCATCTTTTAGAGCTGGAGTTAGTTTATGACATTTAGAATTAAAGGTCCTCACAACTCCTCAGGAACAGCCATGTTAAACAGTCTTACACATCTTTCTAGGAAAGTCTGCATTTACAGGCATATTTATTTCACCTATAACCTGCTTCTTTTACACAGATTTGTGTGTTTTTTTAAAATAAGGGTTAGGGTTCACATAGCAATTTTAAATTCCCTGTTATATAATTATCATTGCTTTCTAATTTCAGAACATTTCTGTCACCCCAAAAAGAAACTATGCATATTAGCGGTCATTCCTGATTTCTGTGCTTTTTCACTCTGAAATGTTATGTCAGTGAAAAACATTCCTTTTCAGAACACATAGATCTATCTCATTCTTTTTTCAGCCTTGTGTTTCATTTTATGTATCAAGACTTTTAACCCTCTATTAATGAACACTTTTGCTGAGTGCCAGAAAAGTTAACTTAATTACATGTGCAAATATATCTTTATTAGATAAAGTTTTTATCAGATATAATTGCTGGATCAAAAGATAAGAACATTTAAATTTTTTAGTCATATTACAAATGGTTTTTCAAAGTGGTAGTCACAAGTATGTTCCTACCTATGGTATATAATAAGAATTCCTATTCTTTTATACCCTTATTTTTAAAATTTGCTTAGATTTATGTTTTTTCTTTATGCCTTCTGAGTTTTGTGTTTTTCTTTCAAAAAACAATGTAAATTTCAATTCATCAAAATCAAAACGTTATGTAGACTATTATTAAAATACCTTATTCACAAATACTTGCTATAAAACAATGTTAAAAACGAGGTATATATATATATATCAAACATAGAAAGACGGTGCTGTTTTCTATATTTGTTTATCTAAGTTATGTAATTTGAGGGATTTCCAGTCTCTTGTGTGTGTTCTTTGCTGAAATTTTAGGTTGTTTTAGAAAATTGTAGTGATCTGAATGTTATTTATTGAATATTTTATGAGTTTCTTTGTTTGACCTAAGCCAGTTTAATAGAATGTATGTATTCTGAATTGTTTGCTAATTAATTCAGGAAGAGCCAAACCTTTTTATTTTCTGTACGAAAATTTAACCTTTGGTTAACTATAGTCCCAATTTCTGAGAAACCCGATAAGGAAAGATATGATCTGTATTACTAAGTGTCATTGTTTATTGAAACATGATCCCAAAATGGTAAACTGTATCTAGATTGAGGGAAAAATTTTTTTTTTTCTTTTTGATACCAGGGATTGAACTCAGGGGGCACTAGACCACTGAGCCACATCCCCAGCCCTATTTTGTATTTTATTTAGAGACAGGGTCTTACTGAACTGCTTAGCACCTCGCCATTGCTGAGGCTGGCTTTGAATTCGAGATCCTCCTGTCTCAGCCTCCTGAACCACTGGGGCCACCTCATCCAGCAGATTGAAGGGAATTCTAAATGCTGATGGGAATGACTTTGGACTTCCCTGAATGGGAAAACTGAGCATCTCTCTTATGGGGACCCTGGAAATATTCCTCTACAGTTATACATATTCCCAATATGAATCTTTTCATAAGAAAGGTGTACTGCTGCTGTGTAGACAGCTGCATGTGCTTCTGTGTGGACTGCCTTAGAAGAAGAGCATCTGATGTTGACCTCCTGAGTAGACTGATGTTCATTGTGATCTGCAATGAGTCTGATTGTTCAGTTGAACCAAAGAAGACCTTTTCTTCCCCAGAAGTGTTGGTGTAGCATAGTAAAACTGTTATGATTTTTCCATGATTAAGTTTTACTGTTTGTAGTACTATATATTTTTTGAACATTTCTGATTTTTAGTGTATGTGTCTATAAAGGTCCATTCAGCTGCAATTGAATATTGGAGTTGAGCAGATTCGAGTTGTACACAGAGATGGAAGAGTAATTACACTGTCTCATCAGGAGCAGGAGCTACAGGATTTTCTTCTATCTCAGGTAATTGTTGCAGACTACAGATCATAAGCCCCTTCCTCTTATAACTGCTTAAAGAGCAAACTGAGTAAGAAGTAGTTAAAATGTAGTAAGTTATATAAGGAGAAAATCAGTGTTTCCCTCTTTCATTTAATTTTTAACATTATAATTTGTGACCTATTGGTTAGTCGAAAGTGTTGATAAATTCTTAGATTTGTTGTACTTTGTGTTTTGGATGAAGAACAAGTTTTGAGATTAACAAGTTTCTTGTTTTGCAGATTGCTGAGGTTTAGCCTCTTCAGAACTAGAAGTGAAGTATTAACCTAAGAAAATTAGAGAAAGGGGGTCAGATACAAAACTATAATGACCATTATCTATAAAAAGAAGTGGAATATTTTAATCATTAACCCTAAGAGAGAGTTCCTCATATTAAGGCAGTCTAGAAAAGTACTAGGTACTAGTCTCCACTCTACCACAAACTTGCTTTGTGACACTGTACAAGTTTCTGGTCTGTCCTTCATCTATAAAAGGCAGTACTTTTCGTATCTTGTTTGTGAATTTTAATCTAGTGAAATGCTGAATTATGGGAGAAACGATAAGTTTTTGAAATACTAGTGTATAATACTTTTTTTTTACTCCACATAAAATTAAGGGAAAAAAAATACTAAAACTCTCCATTCTTGCATCAGTAATCTTACATATTGATTTGCCTCTTTGGTGCCAAATACATAAAATGCATTTGTGAGGCATGACAGCTGTTAGCTAATTATATCCTAAATGGCTTTGGTTAGCTCAAGCACACACATAAAAATGTATTGGAATGTTACTGAATAACTCCCAGAATTGATGGGAAGTTTAGAGGTGAAGGTTTGCAAATGGCAGGGATCAAAGGAAGCTAGGGGAATGGCAGTGTTGCTATCCTGGCACTACTGCATCCCCCACTGGTGGCAGAATGCATTCATTCAGCGTATGACCAAGAAACAGGTAACAAGCCGGGTGTGTGGTGCATGTCTGTAATCCTAGTGGCTCGGGAGGCTGAGACAGGAGGATCCAGAGTTCAAAGCCAGCCTCAGCAATAGCAGGATGCTAAGCAACTCAGTGAGACCCTGTCTCTAAGTAAAATACACAGTAGATCTGGAGATGTAGCTCAGTGTTGAGTGCCCCTGAGTTCAATCCCTGGTACCCTGTCCCCTACCAAAAAAAAAGATGACATACTCAGGAGGATCTGTTGATTAGGGTCTATGTACAACATTATGGGTGTAGGAGAGCCACCAAGCCACAGTGTGGTAACTTGCTGTTAGTAGAAACTGGGTAACCAGGCCCCAGGGTCTTAGTAGTCACCAGTCCTAGGCCAGGGTTGGGGGAAAGAATAAGTTATAGGAACCCTAAACGGGAGAGTAATGTAAAACAAGCCACCTTGATGAGACCAGCAGCCTTTTGTCAAAATAAACAACCAGTCTGGATAACTTCACAGGGAAAGTACCAGGGGAATAAATGCTTTTATCACACTCTCTTCCTTGCCACCTTGCTGGGTCTCATTGATAATCCTCATTACATAGGTGGCTGCCTTTGCCTGAAGTCAGAGGACATAGAAGCTGGTAGCCAACACTTGAGCCTCCCAGGGCAGAGAAGTTCAGTGGAGACTGGATTTGAATAGGGAGTAGAAGATGCTTGCTACTTTTAGTGATGCCTTACATTCAGTGATCTATCAGGAGACTCCAGTTGGCCAAGTTTAGTTCATGTGCCTGTTTTGAAGCTGCTGGTAAACAAGGGATTTGAGTATCAGGCAATTTTAGCTACTTCAGTGGAAGATGGGGTTCTGCTCCTTCTCCCTAGTAGTCACATAGAATAGGACTCTTCAAACATAAGACATGGAAAACCCCAACAGTTTATGAGCATGATCAAATTGCAGAGTAAATATCTGTGCTGTTTGTCAGTCAAATTTCTTTTTTCATCCACAGATGTCACAGCATCAGGTTCATGCAGTTCAACAGCTAGCCAAGGTTATGGGCTGGCAGGTACTCAGCTTCAGTAATCATGTGGGACTTGGGCCCATAGAGAGTATTGGCAATGCCTCTGCCATAACAGTGGCCTCCCCGAGTGGTGACTATGCTATTTCAGGTACTCTGCTTCTTTTAAAGAACAGACCTTTGGGAGTTTGACCTTAATATTTAGCTTTAATAATTAAGTATATGTAAAAGTAGTAGTTAACGTACATACACTGATATTTATCTGATAATACTTATTATTCAAAATGAGATTATTACTTTTCTTTATAGAAGTTATAAAAATGTTCAGCTTGGCGAGCACATTTTCTAGTAGATCCTCTGTAAAGTGTCATCAACATTTTTACTACTGCAGACCCAAACATTTTGTGGATAAAAACTTTAAAAAATATAGCTGTAAACATGGAAAGAATAATATCTGATGCCAAAAATATAAAGGGATGAAATAGAAGAGAGCTGTTTTATTAAGCACCTATGATGAGTGGGTACTTTAATAGGACTCCCACATACATTATCTAGCTTAAATTTTACATTTGTAGGACTTAAATTTTTAGTATGATCTTTTTCTACTATCTGCTCTTAATACTTTAAAATTCAAAAATTGGGTAGTTTGAAATATCTCCCCACAGGATCCTAGTCTGACTCTGTAAGCTTAGTCATTGCTATATTTTTATTGCTAGGAATTTCTTTTTTGTTTTTTGGTGATAGGGATTAAATGCAGAGGGTTGCATATGCTAAACATGCATTCTTCTATACCCATTGTCCCGTACTGCTAGGAGTTTCAAATTACCTCTTTTGTTTTTCCTGAGTTAGTAGCTAAAACCTCATTAAAACCTGATATTCTTAATTCAGAATAATCTTTCCTTTATCCCTTCCAGTCTTTATTCTGAATAGTTGAGTAGGCTTTATATATTAGCCTACTTATTGAAAGTTGAATTATCAAATGAATGTGTTTTAAAAAACAAGTCAGTGATTTTCAAAAAATGTAGGACTTTCCTACGCCAAAATTCTTCTTGCCTAATTTTTGTATTTAATAAACAGTAAATCAGAGATATTTATACCAGCCTGGAGTGAGTGTGTGTGTGTGTAAATTAGTTTTAGAAAGTTAGTATATTGAAATTGAAAAGAACTTTTAACAAGATTAACTTGATGAAGTGATAAGGATTTTTATATTCACAGTAGAATAAAGTTGTGGGATTTATCCTTGTTTTCTGGTTTGCAAAAATGAGTGTAATTACTATTTTGGTTTTTCTCCATAGTTCGTAATGGACCTGAAAGTGGCAGCAAGATTATGGTTCAGTTTCCCCGTAACCAGTGTAAAGACATTCCAAAAAGTGATGTTTTACAAGATGGTAAATGGAGTCATCTTCGTGGGCCATTTAAAGAAGTTCAGTGGAATAAAATGGAAGGTCGAAACTTTGTTTATAAAATGGAGCTACTTATGTCTGCACTTAGCCCTTGTCTGCTATGATTTTTTTCCTGAAATTGACTTGAGATGTTTGCAAATTAATTATAAGCACAAAGAAGAGAAATCTTCCAAAGGAGTATTATTTAAAAATAATAATTAGTAAATGTTTTCCTAGCAATTTGAAATCTTTCACTTTATAAGTGATGTACTTTGAAATGCAGAAGTTTATGTACAGTTGTAGGTATATGGGGAGATGTAAAATAATACATTTTTTTTTTTTACTGCAGTTAACCTGAAAGTGTTATTAATGGAGGGGATTAAATTTGCTGTTTAAAATACCCAGTCTTTGATGTTAGCATCAAATAAAGTGTGTAGTTAAAAAATCTCCAATTTTTGCCGAGCTCTTAATAGCCCTAATGAATTGTTTCCTTAATCAACTTCTCATTCCACTGTTTCTAAAAAAGATCACATAAGGACATTGAGACACTCTATCATCTAGCTTTCTTACAGAACTTCACTTGCACTGATGAAGCCAGACCCTGTCCTTGAAGTATACAAGCACATGGCAGCAGAGGAACAGGTCTTCCCTTTAATTCTAGGGCTCCTAGGGTGTGCTCCTGTATTAGTAAGTGAAGATTTCTTCTCCATTTGTCTTCTTTTGCATATCTTGGTCTAAGCAGGTAGTTATAGAAATTGTTTGGAAGGGGCAGCTGAAAGCATGGAAAGCTGCAGATTTGGGGCTGGGATGTACTTCAGTGGTACAGCGCTTGCATGGCATGCATGAAGCCCTGGGTTCAATCCCAAACACTGCAAAACAAAACAAAAACTGTATCTGTCTTTTTTGTCTATTCTCCCACCTGAGAGACCTCATGAGCAGCACTAAGTTCATGTTCATGCCCAGCTCCCTGTGTAGCCCTTGGATTGCTTCCTCTAGTTATAGTCTTTTCCATTAGCTCTCTGCTTTCTCAAAGGGAAAAAAAAGTAATGGGTTAATGGGTTGATTTTTCAAGTAGTATGTTTGTACTTACCCCATTCTAAAGCGTGCCAGAAGAATTCCCATTAGTAAGAGGCTTATATGCTTTTTAATAGCACTGAAAATAATATATGTAAGGTCTCCTTATAAGTAAAGCTTTCAATTTTTAAAATGTTCTACTTTAATAATTTATAAGATTATCAATAATAAAATCCTTTGTATTTCTCCACCTCTTTTCTTCTTTTTGTGTACTGGGATGAACCCAGGGGTGTCATACCATTGAGCTACATCTCCAGCCCTTTTAATAAATTTTATTTTTTATTTTGAAACAGGATCTCACCAAATTGCACAAACTGGCCTGTAACTTGCAATCCTCCTGTCTTAGCCTCCTGGATTGCTGGGATTAAAGGCCTATACCACCACCTTCTCTCTTTTTCTTTAAAAAAAAAAAAAAAAGTTACGCCTAGGTGCCATGGTATATGTCTGTAATCTCAGCAACTCAGGAGGCTTCTGAAGCAGGAGGACTACAAATTCAAGGCCAACTTGGGCAATTTAGGGTGACCCTGTCTGAAAAAACAAAAAGGGGTGGGGATGTAGCTCAGTGGTAGAGTGCTACTGGGTTCAGTGCCCAGTACCAGAGGAGGTGGGTAGTGAAGATTGTAGGCCATGATATAATACCTTTGTGCCTTTGTTTGCTTTTTTCCTCTTCTTTTGAAGGTATTGTATCTTGACCTGGGGGTGCAGTTCAGTGGTTGAGCATTTGTCTAGCATGCTTAAAGCCCTGGCTTCAATCTCCCATGAAAATGTAAAGAATTGGTATTACTCTGCAGCTTTCAAAATCTTTTTTTTGTGTGTGTGCCAGGCATGGTGGCACGTGCCTGTATTCCCAGGGACCCAGAAGGCTGAAGCAGAAGGATCACAAGTCCAAAGCCAGCCTCAGCAACTTAGTGAGAGGCCTTAAGCGACTTAGCAAGACCCTGCCTCAAAATAAAAAATAAATAAGAGGCCTGGGGATGTGCTCAGTGGCTAATCTCTGGTACCAAAATATCTTTTGCTGGGAGTAGGGGGGTGGGCAGTACTGGGGATTGAACCTAGAGGTATACTTTATCACTGAGCTCTACTCCAGCCCTTTTAATTTTTATTTTGAGACAAGGTCTCCCTAAATTGCCACGGCTCATCTCAAACTTGTAATCCTCCTGCCTCAGCCTCAATTGCTGGGATTACAGGTTAGCACCAACACGCCTGTAAAGTTATTTTAAAAATCTTTAGTGCTTCAAAAATCCTGGTGGCCCACAAAATTTGCCAGGTTAACAGGTACAATTCTAGTCACATGAGTCTTTCTTGTGATTTTTTAAGGCTCACACTGGCACAGTGAAATCAAAGTCTTTGGAGGACCAGTTTCATTTTGTGTTATTAAATTTCCCTCCATTGTAGATTGATAGTTTGGTAAACTAATAAAAATTAATTACTAGAAAAATGAAACTTAAAAAAGATATAAAACTCCCTTGATTGGATTATCATAGACATAAAATTTCTGTAAAATATAAAACTTTCTGAATGCTTTGTTTCTGTGCTTATTCTGTTGGGAACCAGTAGTGGCTCACGGACCAGGACCACCCTTTGAGGAGAATGCACAGGTTCTTTTAAATTCTATAGACTCAGAATCATATGTCCTCCTTTCCCCATTTGTTTTATTAGTCACTTTAATAAAAGCCATTACTTACCTAGAGGATAGTAGAAACTGAAGCAAATGAGGGTGGGGAAAATGACAGCTTAGTTTCTGTTAGCAATTCCTATGACTTATGTTTATTTCCATTTTCCAGTTTGACATTCCATCGTGAATTACCTTGATATGGAAGGACATACTGTGGAACTTGGTTGACAGGAGAAAAAACACTTAGTTCCTTGACAAGCATTTATCAGGTTGGCAAAAGAGCTACCTTTGAATGTCTGCTCTGCTACTAGCTAGCTGTAAGCCTGGCAAATTTACCCACCCTCTGAGCCTGTTTCCTTACTTATTAATGGGGACAAGGACACCTCTCCCCAACCTCAACTTTGAATAAGATTGATAATGGATCTTAAATTCTAATGTACTTCATTGAATAAACGAATACCCACACAAATTCCAATGTACTTCGTAAATATAAAGCATTAAGCAACTATGGTTCTAAGAGTCAAACCAATTAGAAGTTAGAAAAACAGTACCAGCTTTATTTATAATCTGGAGAAAGTATTTCAGAATGTCCAGTATTCCTATTTGTAAATGTTTTGTAAATGATTGAAAACCATGAGTGCTTCGGGGGATAGGAAGATTTAGGAGTTTTTCCAGTTAATTTTTAAAACCCTGCTTTGTAGTCTACCTCTCTCCTTACTCCCTGCCTTTAATTTGTTCACTCTTAACATCCCAAATCCTGTTCTTTGATGCCTGACATACTTGGGGCTAAAAATAAAGCCTTTGAATTTCACTTTAGGATGATAACTTTCCCAAGTCTTATAGACATAAAGGCAATTCACAACTGAGAAATCCGGTTACACAGCACCATAATGCAAGTGCTGCTTAGAAGTCATAGCTTTTGCATTGTTCTCAAGTTTATTGTCTCCTGATAGAAACTTATCCTGTAGAAATGCTCCAGGAAGCAGATTCATAAAAGATTGTATAAGGATTATCAAAGAAGACTGTAAAAGTGAAGGGACCAATCTAAATGTCCTTCATTAAGAGGAAGAATAATTAGATAATACTAGAGGAGCCCCTGGTTCAGGTGTTCATTCTTACTTCTCTAAAAGTAGAGATCATTTGTTAGCTGCCATAATCTGGTTTCCCTTGCTTAGAAACCAGAAAAACTTCCATGTTACAGCTTCATCTTCCTATTTGCTGGTGGTGAATTGGTGTATAGAAATGTTTGTGCCCGTGTGTGTGTGTAGTAGAATAGACTATTTGACTTGAAATTTGACAGATGAGGAAGAAGTTTGAGATATAAATATGACATACAGACTGGAAAACCTCCTGATAATTTAGTGAGTGTGCCAAGGAGAGGCTAATGTCAGAATCTCCTATTTTACCCAAATTATTCATGGCCTTTCTTTCAACTTTCTTTGTAAGTGCACCCACCCAATCTGAGTCGCTTGGGACGCAAAAAGTCAGCTATGAAGAACTATCATGTGTTCAGTATTTGGAAAAGCCTAATTGAAATAGTATATCACTCTCTCAAACTTCACCAGACTTATTTACTAGAACACTTTCAACTCAAAGAAATATCCCTGATATCATTTGATCAGAAATTCTAATTAGCACAGGAAACTGGGTAAGTTCACATTGTTTCGTAGAAAAATTTCTACTAAAGTAAGTAAACTATGAGGTACCTGAAGGAAAAGTATTTTGCATAAAAACCTGTTACACCAAAAGGATTTAACCTACCTGTGCATGCACTTTTAAAGGCCAAATCTAAAGCTAAAACTTGCAAAATTTCACATTAGCCACATTAGCAATATCCTCTCTCTCATCATCAAATATTCAGTCTCCAATAAACTTTACATAAAATCCACTTATATTATAAAATGTTGAATTCCTTGAAAGAGGAAGAGACTCAAAGGAGAGAATTAAATGCATTAGTTAGCAAGAGTAAAGAAATCATGTAGGTTGAAGGAACTCGTTTAATGTCATAGAAAGTTTGTCTAAGATTTTTATTTTTTTATATATTACTTGAAACAAAAAATAGTTTTTCAGTGAACAATTATAATATATCCATGCTGTGAATTGCCTTGTGCAGGAAAGAGAAAGAATAGAATTGAGGAAAAGGTAGAGACACAAAATAATACCCAAAACCCCTTAAGGAAAATCAAGCAAGTTGAAGGGTAATATGTATAATAGAATCCAATCTGACTAAAAAGAAAGTAAGTTGAATATGTTATATCATAATTCATAAGCCAATCTAGAAGGATACTCATCAAATTTAACTATAGTTCCCTCTGGGAAGTAGAGTTTAAAGGGAGAACGTTTACTTTATGTATAGACTTAACTATCATTTGAATTTTCAAGAAGGATTTATCACCTTTGTAATTAAACCAAAACCAAACACACATACCTGATTTTTTTTTCAATAAGCTACCATTTTTATTGCAATGTGGCCATTTTTGTAAGGGTGGGGAATTTGACCTTAAAACAATGTTTCATCTAAGGCTCTTTATTATAAAGAAATTGCCATCATGACTATATTCAAAGTATCTTTAATTTGGGGAGATTTACATGGTAAACAAAATTCCTACACTTATTCAGAAGTGATTTCAATGGAAATCAAAAAGGCATTAATAACATCTATTTCTTTTAAGAAGAAATGCAGATAATAGGAATGAACAGTCAGGTACTAGATAAATTGATGACACAGTTAATGAAACTTAATTGGCATTTCTTTGGGGGGAT